CACAAATCTAATCGAATCGAACCTTTGCCTGATTCAGTTCGATTCAAATAAATACCGTTGAAATAAGTATTTGTAGGTTGAGTAAACATCCATGTCAGAGGTGGACTCCTCATCTATTAACTAAGTTGTTTCTTGGTAGCCGTGCACGCCCCCTCTGTGCACCGCCCAGAGGGGCTTCCGGGTAGAAAGAAATTCCTGTTAGAATGAAAATTCTTCACCCAAGTCTCACTTTAGTATCAATTGTAACAGCAATAACGCATCAAATATGTCAATTTTATACGCGGAATGTCGAATTTCACTACTAAAATACATAAAGAGGATTTTTTTTTAAAGAAATGCCAATATGGGCCTTCCACAGCGTCGCTTGATAACATGTCGGCTTCGGCTAACAACCTATCCTTCGCCCTTTTTCGATCGGCAGCAGCTTTTTTTTGGCATGGCGAGCTGCAATATTTACATGGGCGACTCTCGCATATACCCTTCCTACACGTTTCGTTAAAACGGCCCTTTTTGACTTTCTTTTAGTATTTTTGCGTGATATAACCTCCGATTCAAAGGTCTGTCGGAGCTGTTGTAAAGTATTGATACTCTCAAGATATCCTTGCTGTAGGACTCGATAGACCTCTTTTGATTGGTTATCAAGCCGATCAAACAGTTTTTTATCACTTTTGGCCGCAAATTTAGTGGCACACGTCACAGTTTTCGGAGGTGTACAAGGAATTGGGCTGCTTGGTAAACCTGGTTCTTGTAGAGGTGATCCATCCCACACCTGTAGAATTGGAATACTCTCATCCCAGAATTGATCATTGGTCATAAATCCATCAATCTAAGTATTTCATAGGACTGAAAGGAATAACGCCTGTTCCGCGAAAAGAATGCTGAATTGTACTAGAATTGAACGTTTTTTCCCGAATTTTCGGTAAAGTATGCATAGATGCGGCGAGGTCGATATCACCCAGCCATGATAGATTCTCTGAGTATTCAACCTTAAAATGGTGTTTATAAACCAAGAATGGGTTCTGATCTAATGGCTGAGCAACATGGGTCGAATGGGAGATAAAACAAAAAGGAATAATATCGAATTTTTTCACACAGAGTAAGAAACTCTGAGGTAAGATGGGAATCGGCTCCATCAAAAAAGAAGTAGTCGTGGATATCCATTAGCAGCCTCAACTGTATAATGATGGAAATCTTGAAGCCATTCAATTGCGATGTCTCGAGTAACAAACCCATTTTTTGGTGTATCAAAGGCCCAATCACCAGGGATTTTAGCTGGAAATAGTCTTCAAGAAGCCGGCCGTTACATGCAAAGATAATATAAGGCGGAATAACTCTTCCATCTGCTGAAATACACTCAAGAATTGTAGTTGTTGGTGTTCGATCTGGTGTTCCTTTTCGAGCATACTTTTTTGGTGCTGCTGAGAGTACATTTTCTTTTCCAATTGCCCAGATTGGAAGCCAATTTCATCAAAATTGTAGATATTTTGATATGGAATCTGTTCAATATAAGGTTCTAGATAGTCAAACCAAAGACTATTTTCTCCAATATCTTCGGCTGTAAGCCGTTTCTTTTTCAATTTGGACCTCTGTAATGACGTTGAGATCATAGTCTTTTTTTGGACGCGATCTAGGAATCGATATACCCAATTTTTACCGACCTCCGAATCACCCGACCGGTGGCAAATTGGTTCGCTGTACGTACAACCATCTTCGTTGTAGGCCTAATTTTTAATTGGAATAGCAAGAATGGTAGCCAATCCATCAGAGTTTTCTCTTGAATTATTGATAGGAGACGTCGTTCTGGCCTAGGGGCTGTTCCTGATGGTACACCTAGATAGCGGCGACGTAGACGTTAATAATTAACGTTGTATTGCTTCGCGATCTTGATGAGTTTTGGCTTCAAATTTAGGGTCTAGATATCCGTAGTTGCCTGTTAGATCCGGATCTCAGCATTATTTTCCGTTTGCGACATCTTTTTAGAGGTAAAATTCATGGTAAAACTGATGTGTGGTGAAGAATTTTCATTCTAACAGGAATGTCATTCTACCCGGAAGCACCCTTTGGGCGGTGCACAGAGGGGGCATAGACGGCTAACTATTTAGTTTTATTGGTGACCTCACGCAGTCAAGATGAAAGGATAGAGATTATGGTTTGGCCGTAACGGGTCACCTGGCGCTGCGGTCGTAGACCAGAAGCGTCAGATGGGGCCCGTCCGCGCTTCCTTCACAGGGAGGCGATTTGTCTGTATTGTAGTGGCTTGTATATACAGAGGGAAGATTGAAGGGGCAAAATCGAGTCTCGACTACGTGAGGGATAATGAGCTAGCTACAGAGGCAAGAAAATGACTCCCGTGAGGCAGTTGTGAGAGGGGTAAGAAGCCCTCAGTAATGTCGGTGTAGATATCACGTGCGGCAACCCCAATAAAACTACTCCCTTTACGATCGAGACTCGTAAACCTACAACTCAGCCTTGCTCCCTAGCAGAACACTTATGAAGCAAGATTTCGTCGCCTTTTACTCCATGAGTTCTTTTGGTTTTGCCGGAAGAAATTCTGCTCCTAATCTGTGACCGATTGGATGTACAAAGTGACATATATTCCTTATTAAGAACCTCCGTGAAATTCCATCGAATATTTCTAACACGTCTTTACAAGCACAACGTTGATCATTACAATGGATCCGCTTTGCCATGGTGCATTTCTCGAGACGACCTGGTGGGCGTGGAACTCTTCCTAGAGCAAGGCGCGAGAGTCAAATACTGTAAAGCCGCTCTACCCATTGGATGGGGTTTCGACGAGGATCGCGGAGGCGTCTTACATTTGGCGAGAAGCGTAAAAATAGCCAAGATTTTTCTTGATCAAGGGGCCGATGTGAATGAAATGTCGAATATTGGGAAAACACCTTTGCATATTGCTGTTGAGAATGGTGATATAGCAATGGCGATATTTCTGCTTGACCGCGGAGCGGATGTTAATGCTCATGGTCACGTAAATCGTGGATCATCGTATATCCATTCTACCCCACTCGAGTGCGCCTTGGAGCATGAAAACCATGAAAATCGGTCTGCCATGGCAGAGCTACTCATTGAACACGGGGATTGATAATTGACTACTATCCATCTTGGTCTGATGTCAGATTCCTCTAATCGTGACGTCATATTTTCGATACAAATTACCCGGCAAAGAATCTCACACGGTCTGTGCTCTTTGAATTCCACTTATGAACAACACCGCTTAATGTATGAGGTACCGCCTTGCAGCGAGACTATAGATAGGCTGAGAATGAATTTTGGATAATTGAAAGCCAACGACGAACTGTTGTGCGGAGATACCGGGCGTCGACTTCCATCTGGTTCTTCCCACTTCTTCACACTGCGTAAATTGACTAGTACTTTCCAATACCCTACAAAGATCATGTTACAACGGCCCTCAGATCACTGCGGCCGGCCAAATTTATGATCTGCGCTAAGGCCATGGCAGTGGGGCCCGAATAAAGAAAAGCGATCCGAAGGGTAGAAGCTGTTTTCGCTATCGACTCTTGCGGATCCCGAGCAAGATGATAAGGACTTGAACTTGTGGGGTAAATTTCTCGGCTTCATCAAGCTCATATTGATTACCATGATACCTGCACCCAATGCGAATATCTGATTCAGTTCTTGAGCGCTCTCAGGGGGGGGGGTCCTCCAGAGACTCGCGGGATTGCTCCTACTGGTCTGATTCGTTCATCACTAGATGTGAAATCAAGTCGCATAACACTTCTTACACCCGTGTTTTAGGGCTCTCAACTCTTGATCTGAGCCATTAAACTCAGCGTATGGAGAGTTCCGCATTGAGTGTGAAACTCGAGAGATCTTGGGGCTCCATCCGGAGGTGGTCTCTGCGCTCCGGGTTACTAGCACTCCCTTACCCCAACATGGGAGAGGTCGATGAGCTCCGGCATGGCCCCTTGGCACGATGCGGCATACTTGAGGTCCTCAAGCCATGACTACAACCCACCTGGCGTGCAAGCACTGGATTGAGGAATGACGCTTAGTCCGCCGCTTCCTGCCGCACCAGGAATCTCAGACTGGGGGCGAGATGAGGGCATAGAGGTTTATTTCCTTTGCCGTCTCTTCTGGGTCATTCTGCCTCGCCAACAATGTGCAGACAATCCCAGAACAGTGAGTGATTATTGAGGGGTAGGTCGGCCCGGCTTTCACGTTCAAGCCCCGCCTAGGGCCGGAGAGGGCCGACACCCTAGCCACCCTAACAATGCTGTTTGTCGTCTGTCGATAAGTGGATGCGCCATTTTGAGGTTCTGATAATTAGGTAGATTCAAAAATTCCAAAAATAGCGATTTGCTGCATCTGCTGCTTTTTATAGCCTGGGAGGACGAAGACAATAAAGTGTTGTAGATGCCACCGTAAAACAAAACTGCGGCACCTGGCTTGAACAGGAGAAGACTTGGATGGATATCTATTGATCATAAACCCGGAACTGTTCTTAATTTACGTCAATTTTCCTCCTGGTAGCTAGTTTTAATTATAATTTGTATGACACCAAGTGGCGACCAAACGAATCGAGAGGCGAGGACATATGTGATTAAAATCAATAGAATTTTGCCATTTTTACGGTTCTTAGCCCATTCAATTAGAAAGAATGGACATCTAGTTGTCATAATGACAAAACTGACCTGGTAAATAGGTTCGATACTGGTAATACAAACCAGTGCTCCATGAAAGATAAACTTGTGTGGCTTAAAAGGCCAGAGTAGACCTCGCAACCGCCCATGGAACCGCCTATGGGCTGTCCAGGGATGAGAAAGCAACAATTATCATAAAAATGATCCCCGCATAATTACGTCTTGTGCTAGGTTCGGCATATCAAGCTGAGGATTCAGCGTGTTAACTAGTACTCGACATGCCCAATTGAAGCGGTGCTGATTGATTCAAGCGAGAGAATTCGTTGAGAGATCCTCAGGGGTGATCGTCCAATGTGTGACGACATCACACTTCCTAATTAAATGGAATTACAATCTCAAAATATTGTGAAGGCCATCGATCATAAGCTCCATGCGGAAAGGAGTGGTGAGCTCATACGCTGGAGGCAACTGACCAACATGTTGTGTAATACTGTCTTCATTCTAATCCCATTCTTCCTTGACGCATCCGAATCACCGGCTACCAGTATCGCTTTGGCACCAATTTGGCCCTGGCCGCCGTTCCAGCATTCCCAGTACACCTTGCCTCATAAGGATCCGGCTTGCGGCACATACATAAACACTGAGGCATATTGGGAGGTGGTGCGAAACAAGGTGCCGAGTGATCCCGACGATACTTGCTGAGCTGAACCATTCAAAATGGATTTCAAGGTACAGGACCCTAGCTGCCAGCCTATACAAGACCATGATAGAATCCAAAATGTGCACTGTCACCTGACATATTAAAAAAATTGAAATTACTCATGCCATTGCGGTAAATGATTATGGAATGAAGAAGCAGATTAATCTTAATCTTCGCCTGGTAAACGTGGGTTCTGCTTTATGATAGATGGGCTTAAAAGACGTGAATTGTACTCTCCGGCTGTTAGAACAGTCTTCCGATAAGCCATATTTTAATGGTGTTTAAAAGGGACTTGATTCGGTGAGTGTGCCCGCCCACGACTGCTTGAGTAGCCAGAATATAGGTCCGTGGTTCTCGCAAGTAATAAAAATCTCGTCGACAAAGTGGGCACCGGGCATCCTCATTGCAAATCCAGTTATCAATGCATGGTAAATGGAAAATGTGCCCGCATGGAAGTAAACGATAAGAAGATGTGGGCCCTAAGAGATCCCAGCAGAGTGAACATTCATCCGGAAGTATGCCTGGATCTATAAAAGCATTAAAGGCATATTCCTAACCGTCCAGATACTCAAACAAGACTTACTGGTATTAGAGTCCTGCGATCCAAAATAGCAAGGCATTCGAGCAAGCTCCCGGGTTGTCAGACCACCACGCTCCAATAAGGACGGAAGATAAGAATAATGCATAGCCATAGCCGAAAAGTCGAAATGATCCTGCAAATTACTGCAAAATCCATGTGTTCCATAATTTTGGGCGATGGGAACACAATGTTTTTAATTTGATGGTGGCAATGGCAGTTGCTTACTGGTACGGAAAAGCACAGCGAAGTGCTTTCAGATTGGGTGGGTCCGGAACCGGGCCTGTGAGCCAAGGTTGAGGGTATCAGTAAGTGCCACTCCTGTTTTCGATTACATCATCTTGTTGTCTTATATCCACTACGTACCACTTATGCTCTAGGTAATGCCTGTATCCGTGTTCATCGGATTTGTAATCCAGACACATCCCTTGATTTGCGACGCGGAACCAAACCAAACCCTCTCATTTGATTCCCGGTTCGCTCCGCAAGGAATAACACCAGAGAAAGCTTCCATAGTATCCATTCTTGTGTTGAACTCGGCTAAGAACCAGTAATGTGGTTCATCACCTCGCCGATCAATTTTCCGACACAACACCACCTGGAAGACCAATTAGACAACCGAATCCACTTACACTATCTGAGACTACTGAGAGCTACATACACAATATATTTCTGCTTCGACGTGGCTTGTTCGTCTATTACTGGGCGCTTGCCGTAGTTACCACATTGCCGTATAGTCGCCCACCCACCCGGTAATTACTCCGATTTTAATGTAAATTCTCCTTTAAATGTTTCTCAATCTCCTTTTGGGCCAAAAAGACCACCTAAAGCCTCTCCAGTCAATACACCATGATGAACACGTGCTTTCTATCCCTCTGGAGTATACTAAGGGCTTCGTTCGCCTTCCGAATCATATGTTCTCTATCAAAAGGGCGTTCTGGTGGGCGACTGCTTCCATAATCTTAGCTAATTGTTTAACAGCCAACGAGATTGGTATTGCTGAGCTTCCTTGATGTCCATCAATCTGATCTTTTTATAACTTTAGACTGGGAAATGGCATCTGTCGGGCTATGTGGCGTTTCAGAGACCCAGGCGTTAGAATTGGTATCAGGGGTGGAGTTGTGGGTGTTGTCATTCATAGCTTAATGTCTAGCTTAAGCATAACGGATTGTGTGTCAAAGGAATAATCTAGCACCCTGAAAATCACAGGTAATATTTTGGTCGTTGTAACATTGTGTGCCACGTGAAAGGCCATAAGGAACTCGATTTTAGTGGCGTTAATATGGGTCCGGATAAACGACTCGATCTCGCCGTAAGATCTCTTAAATGAGTTAACAACACTGACTTTGGGTGGCTGAGTCATTGGGCAGAATGAAGTAGTAGACAGATTTGATGATGCTGTTGTCTTTGTAATATACGTCCGTGACTGGAAATCCCGTTCTTTTAGCCAATGACTGACACAATCTTTATCCTTTCATGCTATTCCGTCAATTGAAAGATATATTGGAGATTGCAGCCACTATCGCTATCACGGCAAGCCGATGGTATGATAAAATTGAACAGGTCAGCCTGATCTAGGTCCCGAACTTAGCACAAGATTGTCGAAGGGCGAAAGGAACCATTGAGTCTATCCCCGGCGAGTATGAGAGAGGTTTGAATATCTTGCAATCTCAAGGTACACCTTTCTCATCTAACCTTTGAGACCGACTTCAAACGATACATAGACAAGCGTGACAATGATCGTCGATTAGAGCACATTACGAAGATCCAAGGATGCCAACGCCTGGTGAAAGATAGCCACGTCCCACTCATGGTCTCCTGATCAGATTGGCACAATTGCGTGACTCCGCGCCATGGTGAAGAAGTGACGTCTAGTCTAAATGTAGCTCTGGACTACCGCCTGCGGGCTCTGGATCACGAGAATTCAATAGCAGCCGCACGAGAAAGGCTCGAACCTAACGACTAGTGGTAGATTGTGGATGCTTACGTGACTAGTGATGAAGAAGGCAAGTTCAAATATCCCTCTAAACTAATAAACCGAAAATTTATAGCGCTTCTAGATGGTTCGGACACCAACGCGTAAGACCTTCAAGAAAGGTTGATTCAATCGCTTAAAGAACGTTTCACCAACAATAAACGACCATCATGCCAGTCCGTTCAATGATACATTGAGATAATTCTATTAAGTTTTTTTTCCTTCCTTTTTTAAACTACTCATTCCGGAGAGTAAAGACGTCATTCAAATGTGTAGAAGGCAGTAAAACGATTAAACCTACGAAATCTGCAGTAGTGACATACTCCCATCCTGTACAATCTGAATTTAGAAATTATGGGCCATCATTAGGGCGGAGATGGAAGTTTCACTCAAGAACCCTTTTCACTGGGATGACTGCGCAGCCAGAGCAACTAGATGGTGACTGAGTGTTCCATAGTATATGGAACGAGTTATCCCTCGCTTGAAACTCATCGAGGGACTGCACTGAAATTATGAATCATCCTGGAAGTCAGGGCGCAATTGCGGCCGCACGGAGGATATGATTCGGCTGCAGATCCCCTAGCTCGATCCCATCACTATCCTATCACCGACTAAGACCTGTTGGATCTCTCTGCACTCCTTCTTTTTTTAAGGCGGCACATATTTGCAGCAACACCATTCTGTTGGGGGGTGATTCGCTTTTCCAGGGTTATCGTCGTTGCGCGATGTTGACCAATCATTCTCAATCACCCAATATTTAATCAAAGATTCCCCTTTTCCCGAAATTGACCAATATCTTAAAAAAATTTAATTTTTGCGGGCCCACAATTTGCTTTGTGTCGTCGGACCTCGAATTGAGCTGCTGTTCACCGTTTTCTCAACATCGTGATAGTTTATTTGATAGGCTTCGCCTTAAACGCTCCATCGTTGAAATATTTGTCAATGATTGAGGACGAATGGAAGTTCCGCGGGACTTACATGCTGCCTGTTAGAGAGATATGACCTCGAGTTCGCCATGTCAGTTTTGCAGTTCCTCTGATGGTAGTAAGCTTGAAAAGCTCCCGGATCAGTGGGTAGTGGGGCCGGTGCCTGAAGAGACAAACTTAAATCTGGCCCAATGCGGTCACTGTAAGCTCAAAGTGGGTCAACGTTGTCTGCAGGCTAGAAGGAGCCCCGATATTTCATTCGTGGAAGCCGCTTCCGCCGTGTTCAATCTGGTGGCTTAAGTTCCTAACCTGGGTCACCTTCTCTTCCGGCATATTTGTGAGTTTGCTATGGCTGATTTTAGCTCAATTGCGAGTATCTGGCTGCAGATGTTTCGAGTCGAACTTCTTTACGAGTCAGAGTTCATGTGAGATTTAATATTCTGCAACTCGCTTTTGATATCACAATTACATCTCTTCACACGCATAATGGTTAAACACATAGTGTAGATATGAAAGGAGAGTGGGCGGCTTGTCATACCCAAGCTATCTTGGGCCCTACGGCTCCGCACGAATTTTCAAACTGTTCGAAGTTCGCGAATTTCAACGAATCTAATCGAATCCGAACTGTTGAAATAGGTAGTTGTAATGTTCTTGTTAAGGTTACTATCAAAAGGTGGGAGCCCCATCTATTTAACTGTCCAATCGCTAGGCCCCGCCATAAGCTTTGACCACCGCGATACTCAACAAGTCGGAAAGATTATGCAAAAACTTTGAGCTTGGCGGGGCTCATGGGAGGCCCACGGGACTCCCATGGGCGAACTAAAAGACTTGGTCCCGCGGGATTGATGGGACTAAGGTCAAAGTCCCTGGGAGTGGGACTGAATTTTCACTAGTCCCATGGGAGATGTCAATGTCTAGGCGTAATGATGTCCCATAAATGGGTGTGTAGACTGGTTTAGATGAGCCACTGATGACTACATGCTGTTGACTTTGCAAGTACTGCAATTGGTTTTTCTGCGGTCGGACACCCCACTTCCCGGCACCTATCTACATCCGTCAGCTCATTTCTTCATATATGATCAGGCTTCGAAGACACCGCATCCAAATGAGCCAACAATCATCTCTGGCTCTCGGCTTCTATCGGCTAGATCCCTTCTGCCCCATAACTTCGATCGCTTTACTGAGTTTCCTTCCCTTTCCTCACATCATCCATTTGCTTCCCGAAAATTTCAAGTATACATAGGAATGCACTGGTTCTTTGCATTCACATGGGTATCTCTCACCCTAAGACTGCTTACATCGGCGAGCAGATCGCCGATGATGCACAAACGATTCAACAGCTTTCTCATGGGTTTGAACGTAGACTTCCCAGACCCAAGCTTTCTCAAGGCCGCAGATGAAAAATGGTACGCCTTTGGCACAAACGGAAACGGCAAGCGTATCCAAGTAGCCAGTTCCACCGACTTCAACACATGGACACTCCTAGATATCGAAGCACTCCCCACATTATCAACATGGGAGACCACTAAGGATCACTACGGGCCTGATACGATCTTGCGCGTAAGCCTCAAGCCCAATGTCATCTGAGAAACAACCGCAATATATTAATACAAACAGGACGATGGAAAGTACGTAATGTACTATTCCGGCGAAGCCAAATCAGACATAGGCCACCACTGCATCGGAACCGCCATAGCAGATAAACCTACTGGACCATATGTACCTAGCAACACACCACTATCCTGTCGACTGGAGCAAGGCGGCTCAATCGACCCCTCGGGATTCGCCGATGCAGACGGCACTCGGTATGTGGTATTTAAAGTAGATGGCAACAGCATTGGAAACGGTGGTGACTGCAACAACGGAGTCGAACCACTTGTCTCAACACCAATAATGCTACAGAAGTTACAAGCGGACTGCATCACGCCTATCGGGGATGCAGTGCAAATTCTCGATCGAAGCACGGCGGATAATGATGGGCCGCTTGTTGAGGCGCCGAGTTTGGTACTTCATGAGGGGACTTATTTCCTTTCTTACTCGACGCATTGTTATACTGATATGGCGTATGATGTGCGTTGGGCTACGGCTAGCAGTGTTGCTGGGCCGTATCATAAGACGAATGTTCAATTAGTTAAGACGGAGGGAGGGGGTGGATTGACGTCACCGGGTGTGGCGACATTTTGTGGATGTGGGGATCGGATGTTGTTCCATGGGTGGTGTAATTTTGCGAAGACAAGGAGATGTATGTATGTGGCGGATATTAGTCTTACTGGGAAGTATGCTGCAATTGTTTGATGCTACGAAAGGAAGTTTAGCGTTTAAAGGGCAGATTCATGGCTTTACGATGCTTTTCTTTTCTTTTTGTTATTTACCCTCGCTTGTTTGGTATTGATTTATGTCGGATAGGGGCGAATGCGTATGAACTAGTACGACTGGATACCATTCAGAGAGGAGTGTTCTATCTAGGTGCTGGATCGAGTTGAGCGATCCTGCCTGATTCGTGCAGGCTAGTTGTATAGCCCATACGTACGCTTACGTGCGCTTTACATACAAAAACAGTAATATAGGATCTAAGCACGCGCTGAATCATCAATCTGTAATAGGAAAGGTGGTAATCTTCTCCTGCGGAGTTCGACATCTTCAAAGTCCTCTATGGGCCTTGGAGTAAGTCCCAGGGGCCTAATGTATTAGCAATCAGACGGTTGTGCCGTCGTTACCACAGGGGCCAAAGTCGCCTTTGTAAGGGTAGAATGTATTGCGGTTGTCTGCGTCGCCTTGTTCGGAATATTCGTCGCCTGATCCATTGTCTCGTCACCAGCAGTGCACACACTTCCCACTTGAAAAGAGGAGTCGATCGAGCAGCTCGCGACTTGCCCCTCCTGGTTCTGAAATGAGATTAGCCCCGCCTGATCAACTCGGACGGTGGCAGCTGAATGACCATTTGTGGAGTTTTGGTCGCAGATTGTGACGTTGACGGTACGGGGCTCGTCAGCCGTTGATTGTCCAACTAAAAAAAGAGCTTGATTAGCGATAAAATCAGCGTACTGCTGGTTGAGGCTCCTCACAATAGCAGTTCCTTCCAACTAGGTTGGCGAAGGGTTCGGAAAGACCCAGTGCAATCCAAATTGCCCACAGAATAAATTAAACACTTTCCGTTAACATCGAAAAGATGGAAAGTTGCGGCAAAGACCACTGGCATGCTTCCAGCGAACAAACTAAGGAAGAGGCGCATGGTCGTTTTGGACATGATTTTGAATATTCTCATTGTCTAGAGAAGAAGGGGGATATCCCTGCTTTTATACTACTCCCCGGCTGTGGATAAAAAGCCCAGCAATGTACTCCATACATGGCGATTCCCGAACAAAGGGTCTGTAAGTGCGCTAAGCATGACGAGGCGCGCCGACGCAAAGGGTAGCCATCTATTAATGACTGCAATAGCAGGAGCTCAACAGTGCAATAGCCGCCTAAGCCCTCGAGATATAAGCTACGGAAGAGATTTGTTTTCTTTTCGGGTTATTATTTCTTTTAGTAAAATTTTGCGCGAAAAATTTAATTTGATGCATACAGTTGACTGAGAGGTACTCAACAGCTGATGAAATTTACGAGGCAAGACTTGCGATAGTTGATAAAAAGAGATAATTAAACATCCACGAGATAATCCACAATCGGTTGGCTCTGGAATCTCCGCAGTGAGCGATAGTTCAACATTCATCGTGACAGGGAACTCACCAATCACAGGCTCATGTCCATATAGTTACAGCCAGTGCTGTGTACGAAGCGGTGGTGATAAAAGAGCACGTCACAGAAAACTGGTGACCCAGTGCATGCTGAAACATGAACAAACGTTGGTGAGTTAAGTTGAGCAACTCCATCGCTGATTCAACAGTTACAGCCCGAAGAACTGTTGCCAGACATGTCTCTTGAAAGGACGTTTCACCAAATCACTGGCCTTATTTGACTGCTGGCCAGACTGTCACAGTAGAAGAATCAGTAAAAGGAGTTCAACAGGCCTCACTTACCATAAACAATTCCAGTGACCCGCTCTCCCCCCCTTCTCCCCAAAGTGACAGACAGAAGACTACATGGTGGCAATCTAAAGCAGGCGGTAACAAGACTAATTTAGAGACCTATAAATATGGCCTCCTCCCTCGGTCCTCTGTCGAAATAATTCTCTTACTGCATTGGGCGGATTCCCTCAAGCCGAAACTAAGATGCATTACTGCAGCATACCCATGATAAGTCCCTCCTCTTTGATTCCTTCAAGCTCTTTCCGTTACTAATACTGATAGCGCACACCCAAGCGACTCAGTCACCTTGGCTCTCTTTACCCACTGGGGTGATTCACTTTACTGTGCCCATCCTCGTGCCTGGCAGCCAGACTATGAGTCTACACTGGCCACATACCTTCTGTAAAGATGCATGTGCATATTAGTCCCGTCAAGCTGAGCTGATGATATCACTTCTGGCTAGCTCTTTGATCATGGGAATGCAAGCGAGGCTTCCTGTCAGGTAAATCCCTTGGTTGGCCAATGCTATCGGAAACTGTGCTGAAAACCCAAAGTTACGACCGGCCGGATCTATTCAGATGGGACGTCCCAAGTCAGCACTGCGAAACATATACATCGACCTGCCAGCTACACAGATACCGTAACCGAATCGTCTGCTTCCACGATTCGAAGAGACGATCTTCCCTTGATGGCTTTGATCGCGAGGAGGAGCGCTGTATCCCCGTGGACGCCAACTCTGTTGACATCCAAGTGATGGCTCCGGGCCAGTATTTGCACTGAAATGTGGTCCTCCTTTTCAATGGCGAGATGCAAGGCATCTTTTTGTTCAAGGCGGTCTTCAATGCTGACATCCACGCGTCTATCAGCCAGGAGATGGCTGAGAATGGCATGCTCGGCGTGTTCCACCGCATACATCAGAGCGGACATGCCGGCAATGCATCGGTCGTTGACATTAATTTGTGGATACCGTAAAAGGCTATCAACAATGGGAAAACTGCCTTTCGTCACAGCGATCGACAATGGGCCTCACTGCAGCTCAGGTATCTCTCATGATATTAATTGAAACAACCTTTTTGGGAATCATAATGACGAAGTTAATTTTAGGACCTCATTGTCTCTATAAAAGCATTCAATTTGATTGGAGGAACATCTGTACCGAAGCTGTCTCGGGAGGCCAAGGTGAATGAGCAAGGTTTATGGGACTCCGGGTCTCTTGTGGCGGCAGCATTCACCAAGGTCTGGCCTAATAAACGAACAGTCTTATAAAGCATTAACTATAATCTGACAAAGATTTCCAGTTTGCGGAAGTGCAGCAGACTCTACTTGCCATACTTAGTGGTAAAGGAATGGCTGTTCCAGATCAGTCACAACAAACGCAGCCGACAGTTGCCGAGACCTTGAGAGCCATAGATACCTCGGCCGATTCAAGCGCAATGGAACCGTTACAGAATCAGCCTAAATTTGTCCATATTAATTCCTTTCAAGATGCGGCTAAAGCGGAAGGAGACTATGCCAAGGTGTGCTTGAGCTTCTTAGTGGGATGATTCAATTTCGCTGATCCTTGTCTGTTGTATAGTTGACTACAACCATGAAATCCTTTGCAGACACCCTTGCCGGAAAACTTAAGGAAGTTTGGATGCAGAAGTACATCCAGTTGCTCAGACCAACATTGGAAGAAATGGCAACTCTTTTAGACGTAAGCTATTGAACCAGAAGTGCAAAATATCTGATTTCTAATATATGCGCAAAGAACCTTGGTGCCTACCTAGAGCAGGCTACAAGCTCCGAGTTTGCTGGAAACTGTATCAAACAGCAGCGGGAAATTCTCGAGGCATCCCTGAATCACACAATTCAGACTTGTCGCTAGATCGCGATAGCGAGCCCGTAGATAATGAGTGGCCTTCAATACCGCCGCGTCTCAGATTCCAGCGCTTTTTAGATGTAAAGGTATATAGGAGAAAAATGGATGCGGATCCAGCATCTGACCCAACACTACACCCCAGATCGGAGTACTTGGAGAATATGTCGGTTTGATGGCTCATTTAGAATAGGGACGCAGGAGAGGTGGAGCATAGGGTATCGCAAAGGGAGCAGTATTTGAGTAATACAATAAAAGCGAACTTTTAAAATGACAAGGTATAGAAATGACTATGACCGGTATATTTCTCACTTTGGGACTGAGTTGTTATCTTAATACACACACACAATTCATTAACGCCCGGCGACTGAGCCGAAAGGGCAAACATCGCTAGTCTACTATACATGTCATAATATATACATTGCTGTGTCTCATTGAAGCCCATGCATAGAAACTTGCCGTACGTGTCATTCCCAGCATGCAGTGTCGATTTTCTTAATAGGCGGTAATAAGATCTGTCGCACTGAGTGAACAGCTGAACACTTTTTAAGACATGATTACTCAGCGCATCAAGTTAGATTAAGGGCCCTTTTCACCGTGGCTTCGTCATCGGGTATTTCAAATTTCATACTTCGAAGTGTCGTCCAAGTAGCAGTAGTAGATTCTTTGATTTTCGTCATTATGGCCTTGAGTAATGATCCATTGGCTCTCATCATAAAAATTTATAAAAGCCTTCATCGTATACTCGGTATTCCAGGAGGGTCAAAATTGGACATAATCACTATAGCCGTAGTTCCCTTTGTAGTACTGAATTGGAGTAGTTCGTGATAGCAAGTCCCAAAAATATAACGGACCGGCGGAAGTGAACAAGGCCCGGCTAATAGGGGTCACATAGTAGTAAACAAAGGCATGGTGGGTGAGTGTTGTAACTGAAGTGAATAAACTGACTAATTTCTGCTGCAATGGGTGGAGTTAGACCTCGCCAAACGCGGGTTCGGGGCGGGTTTTCATTTTTCCAACCCGCCCACGGGTTACCCATCGCGGGTTTTGTATTTCAGAAACCCGCCCGTGGGTTTTTGGAAAATCTTCGCGGGTACCCAAATTACCCGTTTGGACCCGTCAAAATACATAAATGATGCATGATATGTGATTAGTCAGACTGTGTATTTTTGGTAATTTATTCTGGTATTGATTTAATATAGGAATTACATTGTACAATCTGACAAGATATACATCTTCCCCAAATAGTTATATATATTGCTTACGTATAATAGCTGCACTACCTTTTGGACCCATTCTCTACCATCCTGTATTTTCAGATGCTACAACCAGATACTACAAGTTTAAGATGGTCCTAGTCGCACAAGCATCCTGCATGTTGGAATTATCACTCGATCGAAATAGGAAAGCCGATTAGACAATGATCAACGCATGCTTGACTTCGTTCACTGTCGCGCGGGTTTTGGGTACCCGTGGGTCGACGCGACCCACAGAACGCGTTGGAAAAAAAAATTTAATGGAAGAGTCCCAATCCAACGCAACAGCATCTCTGATTACACAACACTGCGTTGGATTTGAACACAGCGCCTCGGTTGCGTTGGGATTTTCAGAAAAATGTCGACACTGTTGACTGATCGATCCTTGAGTCCATTAACGTCAATTGAACCGTCTTCCGATTCATTCTTAGACTCTGATTTCCAATCCTCGGTATGCATATTGAGATTCTGTGCCCTCAAAACTCACCCGCCCTGTTCTCGACGCGAGCAAGCATGCTAAACGGCCATGCAGCCTTTCAGGGAACCTCGGCAGAGTAGTATATCTAGTCAACAACCCCCTCCGATTCTCAAACGCGTCGGACCGAACCGCAAAAAGAACTGGATCCTGTACGAATCAGACAACTCGATTGACTTTCTAATATGGTGGGCCAAAACGGAATACGGGCAAGTGCGGAATAGCGAAGGCCGTTCTAGAATCAAGTGGTCGATAGAGTCGCATTATGCCGAAGTTTGGGGACACTTCGACCAAGTTGCGGACATTTTAACTGGCCGACCTAAGGTAATTTGCAGGTCCTGTTTGACTTTGTTAGACCACCCGCAACATAAGAAGCATGGGACAAGCGCAATGGGAAAACATCAGAGATCCAAGGCTTGTCGACAGGGCCAGAAAAGATCTTACCGTCAGACAATCGCAACAAACTCTATCCAGAAGGCCTTCCTGGGAGCTTCATCCAATTGCAAGAGGTTTACTACATTGCAGCTCGAAGAAAGGTTGCTAAAGATGACAGCATGTTTACGATTGCCTTTCCAAACCATTGAGAATCCCGAGTTCCAAGCACTGCTCAACCTGATTTACTCCGGCCCAGGGGAATTAGAAATCCCTTCCGCAAAGACCCTGCGACGTCGCTTGCGTGACTCTGTTGCAGCCCAACAGGAGTCTCAGTTACAAGACCTACCCAAAGATGCGAAAATTTCCCTCGCCCTGGATTGCTGGACTAGTCCCTTTCAGCAAGCGTTTATGGCGATTACCGTATACTTCATCGACAAAGATTGGAACTACCGTGAAATGCTTCTTGGGTTTGAACCTCTACACGGAGCTCACAGTGGAGTTAATCTGAACGAAGTGCTTCTTCAGTTGCTTAAGGACAGACAACTCCTGGATCGTATCTTCAGTGTGACTACAGACAATGCAACAAACAACGAGACCCTCATCCGAGCCCTGCAGGAGTCACTTATATCGAGCGGCGCCATTAGTACAAGGGAATCTATTGTCCGCGTGCCATGTATGGCTCACGTGATTCAGCTTTGCCTCAAGCAACTGCTGGGTCATATTAAAGCCGCTCCAAAGAACAAAGAAGTGAGAAGGTTTTGGTCTGACACACAAGCTGTCTGCCTAAGAGAATCTCTAGAGTATGGTGATGTGGCACATACTCTCGCAAAGGTCTGTTTGACCCCCCCCCCTAAAAAGATCACGGGAGCTTTCGTTAACGTTCGTCTTTTCGTAGATTCGGTCACTTGCTGTCTTTGTGAATGCAAGCCCGCAGCGGAGGGACGCCTTTCTATGTCTTCAATCGGGTGGGACTCGGCTATTCCCCATCCACGACGTGCAGACTCGCTGGAACTCCACCTTTTTAATGCTTCGAAGAGCGCGCCGGCTCAGGAGCACCATCGATAAATACTGCCGAGACCATGAATATAACCAATTCAAAATCACAAATGTCGAGTGGCGCCAAATTGACTACCTGGTCCATCTAACAAGGCCATTCTTCAAGTTTACCATGGCTCTGATGAAGACCAAAGACGTGACTATCCATAGTGTGTTCCTTGTGTATAGGAAGCTTCTGGAACACATCGAACGCTCAAACCGGAAGCTGAGAAAGAAAACGACACCCTGGAAAAAAAATATGTACGGCGCCATGCTCATGGCAAAGCAAAAGCTGAGGGATTATTACGAGAAGACTTATCGTGACCACGGATTTCTCTACGGTACGGCAGCTTTACTTGCTCCTCAGTATAAGCTTTGTGCGTTTGACGACACAGAGTTTTCACAGTACATTGGCGAGACTGCAAAGAGATATTGTGAATACCTGCGATCATCTTTCGCACAGTATCAACAGAAAAACCCAGAGATGATCTTCCGTGCCGTACAGCGCCCTTCTTTACAGGCTTCCGAGTTAGAACGGTTGCTTGAACCAGCACATGCGGTAGAAACAAGCGAGGGAGTCGGGTATGATGAGGTTGATCGTTATCTTCAAGAGTGTAAGTACATCCAACTCACTCGACTTGAAAGGCCACTGATTTTGCCAGCAACTACGTCAATACCACCGCGTGTATACTGGAGGGAAAACGAGAGTAAATTTCCCGTGCTTTCGCGGTTAGCTCGTGATTTGCTCTCAGTTCCAGCCACTGGAGCAGGAGTTGAAAGGCTCTTCAATAGTGCCCGGGATATTTGTCACTATCGCCGGGGATCCCTGAATGAGACTACGATACAAGACTTGATGATGTATATGTGCTCTGAGAAATTCACCCTGGAGGGCCAGCAATCGAGTCTGCTGGATCATAGGAGGGCGGAAGGGGAGGACCAGGAGAATCTTGAAGAGAATGAGGCAAACAAGGAGGCCGAGGACGATAATGCAGCTATTAGCGATATAGACGAGGGTGATCTTGTCGAAGATACGGATACAAGCCTCACTGTTGAGAGTGCTCTGGGACTTCAAAGCACCGTTCCACAGGAGCTTCCGTCTCAAGATCGATTGCAAGATGCGACAATGATAGTTATGGATCCGGAGCAAGAGAGCGACGATGAAGATTCGCTGCCACCTCCAGCTACCAGTCTAGGAGAGAGATCTCAAAAAAGATCATCAGGGAGGATGACAGTGCCTTCAAGCCGACTTCAAGGCTATGAGTTGTATTAGCTATTCTGCTCAGGGCTAAATATCAATAACATATCCTTACATAGCCACCTTTCTCAAACCTAGAGCCGTTTCATTAGTACCAGGGTAGATTTGATTGATGCTTGAGGCTCTTCGGAAAAGTGGAGGTTGCAAAGAGTCTACTCTTACCGGGCAATACGTTGTTTCAAACGAAGGATTCAGCATAACTTTGTGCTGGCTGACAAACCCTTCCCTTTTGGGAGGCATGGGTAATTTGGGTACCCGTATGGGTCGCGGGTTGGGTTTTCAAAAAACAAACCCGCCCACGGGTCTGCTGACTAAGACCCGCCCCGACCCGTGGGGCGGGTTTTCGTGGGCGGGTTTGGGTTTTGGGGCGGGTTTGGCGAGGTCTAGGTGGAGTCAATGGTGAACGCTACTCGTCCCGATTCAAAGAGCAGATTAATGAGGATGCAGAGAATCTTTGCTAACTAGGTGATTAACGGTTAGTTAGGTGTCGCTGTTGGTCATTATGAGGTCAGCACTCCGCATTATTTTTCCTTCACTGCAGATGACAAATCTAATACCGACGTAACCCACTACCGACCTTGATACCCTACCAAATATATAAAGTCAGAACCAAATTATTTTTACCTTAGGACGCTATCCAAAAAGTAAGTAGCTATCAAATCGATTACGGTGCTTGAACAGTCGCGCCCCAAATTGGAATGACCGACTCCAATACTTATCTGGAGTCCGTGCCCGGTACGCGGTCTCGTGACAATCCGGTAGAGTCAGAGTGCACCCCTCAAAAATTCAGTAGGTATGGCAGATACACATATGTTCCTCCATCCTCTCACATATCGGTAGGTAGAAACAATTCCGGCGATGATGGTGGTGTCCTCCAACCGGGACCCAGCGGGGAGTCCGACTTCGAAGTGGCGAACAAGAAGTTTGCCTTCTCGGTCGACCAGCTGAACAAACTCCTAAGCCCCAAGAATTTCGGCGCCTTGGGCGCTTTTGGTGGGTTGTATGGGCTTGAAAAAGGTCTCCGAACCGACGTGCGGAGCGGCTTGAGCATTGATGAGACCGTATTGGATGACGCAACGAATTTTGACCGGGTGGTTGCACGGTCCTTCGTGCCACCGACTAATGCCAGTCTGGACGAATCGGCAATGAATCAGCTACAAGACCGATTTGCAGATCGGCGGCGTGTGTTTGGAATTAACAAGCTTCCCGAGAAGAAGCTCAAAACTATTTGGGAGCTCGTCTGGATCGCGTACAATGACAGGGTGCTGATTCTTCTATCAATTGCCGCTGCTGTGTCCCTTGCCGTTGGTATTCCGCAATCTGTTCGAGGGACAGGCGTGGAATGGGTGGAGGGAGCAGCGATCATTGTTGCCATCGTTGTTGTCGTTACCGTCGGTGCGGCGAATGATTGGCAGAAAGAACGGCAATTCGCGAAGCTTAACCAGAAGAAAGAGGATCGATATGTCGAGGTGATTCGATCGGGCAAGAGGGCGGAGGTGTCGGCCTATGATATTATGGTCGGGGACGTGATGTGCCTGGAACCGGGCGATATAATCCCAGCAGATGGGATCCTGATTGGCGGACAGGGCGTCAAATGTGACGAGTCGTCGGTAACAGGCGAGTCAGACCTCCTTCGGAAAACCCCTGGCGACAAAGCCTACAGGGCTGTTGAGCAGAACAACGACCCGAAGAAGATGGATCCATTCATCATGTCGGGTTCTAAGATTGAAGAGGGTATGGGGACTTTTCTGGTCACTGCTACCGGTGTCCACTCGACCTACGGCCGAACCATGATGTCTCTCCAGGATGAGGGCGAGACTACCCCGCTACAAGTCAAGCTAAACGTGCTGGCAGATTATATTGCTAAGGTCGGCCTTACCTCAGGCCTGACACTGTTCATAGTGCTATTCATCAAGTTTCTAGTCCACCTCAAGGACATTCAAGGCGGTGCGGAGGCCAAAGGCCAGGCTTTTCTGCGGATTTTTATTGTGGCCGTCACCGTCGTCGTTGTAGCAGTGCCCGAGGGGCTGCCATTGGCGGTCACCCTCACTCTCGCCTTTGCAACAACAAGGATGATCAAGGACAACAACCTCGTGCGCTTGCTCCGAGCATGTGAGACCATGGGAAATGCCACGACCATTTGCTCCGACAAAACCGGCACACTCACCGAGAACAAGATGAGTGTCGTGGCTGCGACTCTAGGCACCACGTCACGATTTGGAGAGCAACCTTCTTCGAACGATGCGGCCAGCGCACCAGATCCCGGGACTCTTTCAGCCTCTAATTTTATTTCCTCGCTTGCACCATCGATCAAAAACCATTTGCTCCAATCAATCGTTCTCAACTCAACTGCGTTTGAGGGTGAACGTGACGGAGTGACGACGTTTATTGGATCGAAGACGGAGACGGCGTTGCTGTCATTCGCGCGAGAACAACTCGGGCTTGGGCCAGTGAGCGAGGAGAGAGCAAACGCGAAGATCGTGCAGGTTTTCCCGTTCGCCTCAAGTCGCAAATGCATGGCGGTGGTTGTTTCGATGGATAATGGAAAGTATCGGATGCTGGTCAAAGGTGCTGCAGAGATCTTACTCCGCCAATCGACACAGATCGTGCAAGATGCAACCAATGGTCTGGCGGAGGCACCGCTCTCCGAGGACAATAGGCCCGCGCTAGATACCATTATCACGAACTACGCGTCTCGCTCTCTGAGGTGTATTGCGCTTGTGCATCGAGACTTTGAAAAATGGCCGCCACATGGGACACCGACGCACGAAAATGACGGCGAAATGGCATACTTTGAGCCAGTATTCAAGGACATGACGATGTTAGGCATCTTCGGAATCCAGGACCCCGTCCGTGAAGGAGTCCCCGACGCGGTCCGCCAGTGTCAGCGCGCCGGAGTTTGTGTCAGGATGGTGACCGGCGACAATATTAGCACAGCGAAAGCCATCGCCCAGCAATGCGGCATCTACACGCCTGGTGGTATCACCATCGAAGGGCCTGAATTCCGCCAGTTGAACCATGGTCGTATAAACGAGCTCATCCCAAATCTGCAGGTTATCGCGCGGTCAAGTCCAGACGACAAGAAGATTTTGGTCGGCCAGCTCAAGGAACTTGGCGACACAGTCGCCGTGACTGGGGATGGGACGAACGACGCGCAGGCACTTAAGACTGCTGATGTAGGTTTTGCAATGGGCGTAACAGGCACTGAAGTTGCGAAGGAGGCATCAGATATTATCATAATGGACGACAATTTTGCATCAATTGTCAAGGCGATAGCGTGGGGACGCACAGTTAATGACGCCGTCAAAAAATTCCTCCAGGCAAGATTACCAGAACCCGCTCCAAGACCAGAAACTGATTACAATTTAGTTCCAAATAACCGTTAACATCGCTGCTGTCGTTCTCACCTTTGTTTCGGCTGTTGCCAGTAATGACGAGGCTTCTGTCCTCAGCGCAGTGCAGCTGTTGTGGGTCAACCTCATCATGGACACTTTCGCCGCTCTTGCACTTGGTATTATTTCCCCATATTTTGGACTCTTTCATGGTTCCTAATATTTTCTATAGCGACGGACCCACCTTCAGCATACGTTCTCGAGCGCAAACCTGATCCCAAATCTGCGCCGCTAATCACCTTGACAATGTGGAAGATGATCGTTGGCCAGGCCATCTATCAACTAGCTGTGACACTCGTCCTGCACTTTAATGGCCAATTCCTCTTCCTAAGGTGGGATAGCAGGTATATGCAAACAGTGGTGTTCAATACTTTCGTATTCATGCAGATATTCAACCAGTACAAGCAAGTAGTGCCGTTCCCTCCTGGTAGAACCACTTACTGACTGATACCTGCAGCTGCCGCCGGACTGACAACCGTCTAAATATTATGGAGGGCATCCTAAGCAACAGATGGTTCATCGGCATTCAGGTCATCATCATCGGCGGCCAGATCATGATCATCTTCCTCGGCGGCAAAGCCTTTTCCGTGCAGTCTCTTGACCAGCCCTCCCAGTGGGCAGTGAGTTTGTTGCTTGGAGCTCTTACGGTACCGATAGGGGTAATAATTCGTCTGATCCCGGATAAAGTTATCTTCAAGGTTATTACGTATATTTGGCCCCGTGCAAAGGGTCCTGTGCGGGATCTTTCCGGGGAAAGGCGCCACTACGAGTGGGATCTGGCACTGGAGGGAGTTCGTGACCAGCCGGCGTTCATGAAGAAGGTCCGTGGAGGGCGACTAAGGCATATAATACACAAGCACCCCCAAGTTTTCTTCCAGTCCCACGGCAGCTCACAACTCCCATATCCTTCTACGTTGCCCACAACAATTAAAGACACGGCGGCCAGTGGTCACGTCATGGATCGATGTTCGACCTCTCCGCCTGCATCTGAGCGGACACCTTTAATTCGTGGCAATGGGACCAGACAGAGCCCATCGCAGGTGTAGGCACCACACTATAAGCATCTATTTTTCGCCGTCTATTTGATAATCTATGTTTGGCGTATTCCTATGTGGATGTACAAACCTATCGCTATTTTTGTCTTCGAACGGCGATCACGGATTTGTCGACTACTCTTATGTACATTATTAAGGAATACTCAGCTTGGCGCCGCATATCCCGCCAGTGAGTCGAACTGACGAGGGACCCGCTGACTGCTCCCGCCATTCTTTTGGTCGAGTGCGTCGTGGGGATGCGGACTGCGTTTTTCCCGACCCAACCTTTATCTAAGGCGGACCTATGTTCAAGCCCGACAGCCCCTTAAACTAAAAAGAATGACACTTTCAGAGTGGTTCAAAATCATCAAAGATGATGCGTATTATCATATACTAAACAGGTGTTTGCTCCTTAGTTCTAACGAATGGGCCCCCCTTCCAATAAATCTAAAGGGGCTTCTGGCTATTCACTGGCGTGCTAGGCATGCCAAGGTACATCTTGAGTGAGCGTGGTTAGTTCCAGCCTGTTTGATTATTTTGCATACCTAGGGGCTCCGCAGGAATAGCTTGAGTGAGACATGGGTTATTAACCAAAATATCATCACGAGAACACTTCGAACCGATAACATATCAATATAGTACTGCACTACCTACCGAATAAGCAAGCTACATGCCCTTCTTTCTACTCCTCCACCGTAGTACTTCCCCTTTAAGATGCCACCGATCCGCGGATTAAATGAGACTTGCCCTATCCAAGGTGGCCACATAGCGATACACCTCCGCATTTTCCTAAGTGATGTAGTGAGCACGGAGATTGTCGTGACGCGAGAAACTTCGCCGACATCCAGATACCCAGCAAACACGAGGTCTATCCCCCAGGTGACCGAGCAGGTGACGTTAAGCCCTTTCCCGGTGTTGGAAGCGCACACTGTAACCTGCAATACTACAGTAAAGCTTCTACTGTGAGGTACCTGACTGAAAACCCTCGAGGTTAGAGTCCGAATTGTTGGCGATGGAGTTGAGCGCTTCTCGAGTGTAACTCGGCCACCCCAGTATCCTTCCTTGTATCAACTCAACAAGCTGGCTCAGGCGGAGAAATGCTGCTGTGCGTGTTGTGATCTGCACCCGCCCGGTAGAACTTTCATAGCCCACCAAGCCATCCGAGTCCTCCAGCTCTTACATTCTAAGAAATATCTCGTCCGAAATTGATTGAGGGATGTTTTGTTTTTTTTCCGAGCCAGCGGCGAGACAGCTGCGAGACAGCGTCTTCATCGAGCTTTTCCAGATGGTAGTGGCGTCGCTTCTTGTATAGATTCCACTTAATGCACTGGCATCGTAAACGACCGCGATATTGTTGCCCTTGTTATGTCGGTTGCGGTATGGTCTCCCTTCGGGCTATATTTAGTGTTGTAGTTCATTGGTATTAATTGTTATTTTTGTTCAGAGGGAAACATTAGGCTATATATATACAACTAGAAGAACCAAGTTGATCGGAAATCAACTTGGTTCTTCGTATAGATATCTCGGGATTAATTCCGATGGTTCGGCTTGGTTCCTGATCTGCACCAGCCTTATATCACAAAATTTAGCCTTCTTTCCCCTCTTTCTATAAACCAATTAAGGTTCATGTAGTCGACTCCACCTACTTTCTCAATTTGTGGCAGTGATCGATACAGTAAGATCCGCAAAGCCGGCTTGCAAATATCTTGGAGATGGGACTATTGCTAACCCTAAACTAGAGCTCTGTCTTCTCTGAAGGCATGGTGCCAATCTCATCTGGAAACAGACCCACTTTCATATTTCCTATGGCGGAACCGCATGTGGAATCAGTAATGTCGATCACATCCAATACCTCGTCTTCCATCGCATGTCTTCGCCTTTACATTTAGCACTCACAAGATCGCTATTAATTGGCCAATATATCGCTACTTACTGCTTGCGCATTACCATGGTAGGATGGTAGGTCTTATCGCCCGGTCATGTTCCCGGCTGCGCCTTCTCGCGGATTTTTCCTGTCTTGGAATCTGCACCCTTATCTACCGATTCTTTCATCTAAACAGCACCTCTTTTCTCTTAGAGCGGGGCATCCTTACGCTTAGTACACAGAAGGAAAGCCATTCTATCCCACTCATACCTCCCATGCATATTGGAAGGGCGTTCAGCTGACAAGAGCGAGCTTCGTACACTCAATGGGCATAGAGTCCGCGGTCACGAAAACCAACCTTCATATCTCAAGCTACGGATTATCGGTCATTTCAGAGCTCCGAGGACTGCGTCTAGTTATGCAGCCATGTTGAACGACTTCTTCGCTGGCAAGGGTTGCACTCACGTCTGTTTTCATATGTATCAGCTACTTTCGGCATTGACAAGAGTATCTCCACTCATGCTGACCTATCCTTATTCCTCCTCTCTGGGTGCTAATATTGCCTATAGTGCGACTGGTTACCGACGCGCTTCCCACACACCCACTTCATGCGTGTATCATCTTAACATACCCTTCGACGCCTGCTCTGAATACTTAGTCCCAATCGCACTACGAATCTACTATAAGAAGCGCATTACCCACATTACCCAAAAGGTGGCTTTTTATCGCGTCAGCCCCGCCTACATTTATATTCGTGTGGCTAACTATCGTTCCAGCAGGCTTCTCACGTCGATCGAAAGATTTGTTACCTAGTCCCTGCTCATTCCATCGGTAATGCCGTCGTCTCTCATCAAAAGTTTGGTTTTAAGCAGCATTAGACGCGAGGCCTGCTGCAGTCAGGCTCTGGAGGTTAACAGTGGACGGCTAGCGTGGCTCCCTGTCTCACCTCACCGATGTCAACACCCACGCGAAATGAACAGTTTATGACAAGACCTACCGTTGGGTCCGCATTATGCATTCCGATGGCTGATCTCCATTTTCATTGGACAAGGCCACTTTGCATCACCGTCTTCCGCGTCGGCATCTGGGGAGATGCTGAAGGGACGTGCTCTTGGCACGCTGTGAGCTAAGCCTGTTCAATGTGGGCTTCACATTTATCTAGAGGCAGAGCTAGTCAAGAGTACTACTTATAAACCTGTGGTGGCCATCTCGCTGTCGGCATGGCCACTTATGATGCGTCTGCGGTATGATTGATTGTCGGTTTGAAGGGGTGATACCCGATAATACATACTCCGAGAGGATCAAGTTGATTGCAAGTTGACTCTACATATGGAGATCTGAGGAGCCATCTCCAATGATGCGGCTCCGTTCCGGCACCGGCATCAAATCACGATATCGTTTCCACGTGGCTGTGTGGGCTTTCTGATGGGCCGACTTATGAAGCAACTTCGAACATAAAGACAGTGCCAACCTTTCCAGTGCCTTGTGAATGTTCAAGACGGCATACGTCGACGGAAGCAGACTTGGGTCGCTGTTCTTTAAATGGTCCGACGCGCCGCTGACTACTTGCCGCAGCTAACTTCGCGTGACGTCATTTCCCAAACATTTCTCCGCTGGGCTTCTTCGCGATGAGTTCATCTCACAAGTGAGCATCGATACACGAGCGTTGGATTTCCACGAAAATTTAATCGTTCTACTTTGCGCTTTTTACGACGGCTAGCTCTTCTTTGCATTCTCTTCTCGCTGGGGCTACACCAGCTCACGCTGTTGAGCGGGAATCCGTGTCAGACAAATAGAAAGGAGGCCAGCGGGAGCTCCAATGGTCCGAGCAGTGCTCTAGGGAGGGCAACTTGGGTCTTTACCCAATTCAAGCTAATTGTGCAATCAGACTTGCAACAAATTTTGAGAGCGCTGCGTTGACATGGATGCGACGTTCAACAGTGGGATCAGCAGCAAGGTCAATCGAAAACTTCACTTCATGAGAGGTCTTCATACATGATGGGGGCATATTGCCGCAGCATAGCAAATTATGTGCTTTCACCGCGTCCCTAAAGCGTAAAGTTAACTAGTTCGACTTCAATTGGGGTAGCTCCCAAGCGCAGCTCGCCCTGATGGGGCTTTAGCGGTGTGGTATTCGAAGTTACCTACTCGCTTAGCTTTTTCGTTCAGAACGAAAAGGTTGGGCTCTACCAGATACCAATACACTACCGCGCAATGGTATTGTTGGCACGGGCGCTGCCGGGTGGGCTCTTGTGGGATTTTCTGGAGGATTGGCATTCAACGCGACCACAAAGCTTGAAGTCACGGTCTTGACATTACAGGCTTCTCAAATGGATATCTTACCATGCTGGGGGCTTTTATCAATCAGACATTACTTGTCTACCTCGATCTAAATGGGCCGGTGATGGTTTCACTGCAGCGAATAACGGTCGGAGTAGAGGCCAGGCAAGGAAGTCGTTCCCCTGCTCATGGCGGGTGATTCTACTATGAGTGATGCACGATTTTCCTATGTGCGTCTACGGGGGAACCCATTGCCACACAGTCCCATTCTGGCTTCCTTGCGAGAGGCGTCCTTATATGGCCAGGCGGCTCTCAGTGCATGTTATGCCACAACAAGAAATTATTGGGGAAATCGCCTGCCCTTTTCCGAGGTAAAATGGAACATCTATTGGTACATTTGCCATCATCGCACACGAGATCCTTCGCCGTCTGGTTTCTGATCAAGATCATTCAAGCCGACAGGACAGGGCCACCCTCAAACGCCAGGAATAAGGGTTGCTTGCGCAGAATGACACTGTTTCCTCACAACTGGATAAAATTCGATGTGCGAAATTGTACACTGAAAGCGAGTCGGCACGTATTGCTCTCTATTGACTTATACGCCTACAGTACACCGGCGGGAATGGCTGGCTCAACTCCTCGATGTTCGGGCTAAAGTATCCTCAAGTCTAGACAAATGGGAAAGCAGATGCTAGAATAGCCTGGGGGCACGGAGGTTTCACTTTTTTGACACTGAGAATACAATTGGTCTTTGCTTTCCGCTTCAGCTCGGAGCTTCTGATCGATTCTCGGGTCGCCTTCCATTAGGCCAAATCAAATCCCCTCCCATTCAAAGCCACCCATTTGATTTTCGAAGATTCGAAATCTAGGTGATCGGCGGAGTGGCGTAGATGGGCATCCCTCTCTGACCAGTCTAGCAGATCTGCGGGGCAATGCCTGAGGTCTCTCTTGTTGCACCGCACCCGCCTGCAAAATGTGCACCGGGGTGAATCTATATACAGAGGGGTAGGAATCCGCTGACGGAATATCGCATGGGGCAACTTCGGTGACACTCCAGCTTCTGGCTGCATTAATGCTCATTCGAATCTGCGATGGCCACCCGCGTAACAGGGCGTCTTGAGGCTCTTCACTTCGGCTGCATCTCTTTAGTAACCAGTTTTTCGAGAGACGCATTCATTACACTTACCAGGCGCAGCATGACTTGTGCATCTTAGGTCTGCATTGCTTCAACCACTCCTCCATACAACCCAAGTGTGACAATGCTTGGCCGCGTCGACACTGCAGAATTACGTTTTCGTCGGTAGGATTCCCATTCTCGGCGAGACAAAATATGCAGTATATGTCATCGACGTCCGTGCCGATTTCCAGACGGCGGACCTTAACGCCCTGCCTGCCCGGCTGTGTGTTGGAGGTCAAGGTCGAGGCGGCGCTCTCAAGAGGATCAGTGGGGTTATTCAACTCGTGATGATCCACCGGATCCGCAGAAACTCTCCCGCTTCGATTTTCGTACGACACCTGGTCGGCCATGTCTTCGCCATTGAGCTCTTACATAGAAGTGGTGCTTGCGTGGGCCAGCTGTGATTCTGCCTGCGCACGGCTGTTGATAAAAATCTCGCCAGGCCGCTCATCAAGGTTTTTTCCGCGATCCCAAACACGAAGAGAACTGACAAAGATCTTGCGCCGCGTCAAATGTTTTGGAACAGGATCATCAGGCCGGAGTAACTGGTATGGTTCGAGGAGACGTTCTTGCCCCGGCTTTATAGATGGTCTCCCAATGGCTTATCGCTACCGGGTCGTAGGCAAAAGACTGGCTACATTCACAAATTCTACTAGTCAACCCACCTACATTCCTCACTCAGCAACATCTTATAAGTCTGCCTTCAGATGACAGCGGTAGATGATCTCCTTGGCCGTTTGGGGCAAACAATTTGATTACTGCATAGGGAGTCTGCTTTGATGGGGGCTGGCTAAGCGTGAAAGATCGCCGTCAACTTGAATCTGCTTCAACTAATGAAGCCTTGACTCCCTGGAAGAATAACCCAGCGGGTAAATTTGGGTCATAATTGAGCGTTGCCGATCCTGGGATCTTCAAAGGGGGTTCTGGGAACTCAGTCGCTCCTGGGAAGCAAGTGAACGTTCCCCGAACTGCTTCGATGTTTAGAATTATGCTACTTTGTGGCATGGATGAGTGACGCAGCACGTCACTAATGGCGCATCCTAGTGAGTCCTAGTCGACGCTATGCTCGTGGACATTCGCACGTCCGTTCATCAACATTTAAAGTGCGGTTCTTCCCTTAGTCACGAGCTTCCTTCTTGCCAAGCCTGCATCAGGCGTGGTAAAGGTAGCATCTGTTACTATCTAGCGAATGTGAACCAGAGCCCATCCTGCGAGCCGTGCCGTATCGCCAAACAACGATGCAGTATTCGATCACGCATGTGCAAAGGCTTTCTTGGAGGAATGTCCCAAGAGACTCGCATTCGTAAGACAAGCCGCCGAAGCTTACAAGCGCCATCAATTGGGCTGGCACCGTCAGATCAAAACAAACAGGTCAGTAGCTCAAAGCATGCGGCAACTTGAACTTGGCTGATGCTCATGGCCCTTGAAAAACGGTTCCCCTTACGGAATTGAATGAAAACCAAGCCTTTGATGTTGATTCTCGCTCTCCTGAACATTCGTCTGCTGCAAGCCCTCCCGCTACCATGGCATATTCCAGGATGAAGCTCTCGGTGAGTAGACCCCATGCACATTTGTAGTGCCAATCAAATGTTTCTGATTTATGCAAACAGGCATTCCTGCCATCTCCGTTGGAAATTCCACTTGTTGATCCCATCTTCGCACGAGAAGAATCACCTCCGACTTTCCATCAACTTCTGTTGGTGTTGAACTACATCTTCATCTCTGCCATGCTTCCTGAAGATGATGCGACCATGTGGCGAATCATCTATCGTCATTCAGCTGACTGGGAAAGAGAGTTTGTCCTGCAGTATGATGGACTCTTATCGTGGTTGATCAGTACGCGGGATGCTTTGACCGATTCCCGTTGCTTGCAGACGGTGTCTCTAGATGACCTAGAGTTGCAGGCGCGGTGGATACTTTTCATGCTTGGGACAAAAGCGCTGCCTGGCTCGAGCTTTCTACAAGAATACTTCCAAACCAAAAGGTATCCGTATCGGTCATTTGGCGCGAGAGCAAGCATCGCATTAGTCTGTCTTGCCTTTACGGGATTGCAACCGAGAGACCTCAAAGACTATGAGTCCAAAGACATCTGGCCGAATGGTGAGCCTTTCTACACGCTGATGGCTTCCAGACTGAGCCAATCGCCATTATTCAAAGGCAGCATTTGCGTTGATAAAATGAAGACCATGGTGCTCAGACTTCACCAGGCCTTTCATTTGGAGGAAGAACGTGTGGCCTTTACGATGCCCCAGGAAATCTACTACGACAAGAATACCAGCACATATGAGTATTTCCGGCGGGCCTTTCTCTCGTTGGACCCAAGATTGCTACCAAAAGTGTGCCAACTACTGCAGCCGTCGGGACTGACTGTAGAGTACAGTGCATACAATTTGGCTAGCATCTGTGCCACGGCCTTTCAGAGAGCCCCGTCAGTGGACACCCTCGAGGCCACACTTGCAAATATACCAGATATTTTGCAGTCACAAGCAGATAGAGCGGTAGTGATTGAAATGTTCCACGTGAGGCTATTCCAGCAATTGAAGCAACCAGTCTACGGTCAGTCATCATATCATTCAGGTCTTGATCAAAGCTGATTCTCGTTTGTATGCAGGCTCCTCGTCACGAATCTTGGTATTTCAAGTTTCTTCCCTGTGGGGAGTTGATAGTTGTGCGCTGCCAATAAATACTTAATACAGTTGAAATAAAGATTTTTTTTGTAATCAAGTCCGCCGTTCGTATGGCTTTTTCCAATAGTGCTATTATTTCTAGCTAAGTGAGTGGATGTAATGGGGGGTAATAAAACTATTAAGATAAATTCTAAGCTTATGATAAAATAGATCCTCTAGTGACTACATTTTACATTCGCCCCCCCCCCCCCCATACTAATCTGCGTAAATCGTGTTTGATATGTAGGTGAAAAGCCACTACGACGTCACTATCAAGAAGTATTTACCAATAGGCTTATATCTTATAGCACTAAATATTATTGATCATATAGTATGTACTACAAGGAAGACTTCTTCTATGCTGTTTGATCCGTGAGCGGAAGACATATGGTAGTCTATCTTGTTTCAATAAGCTAGGCTGACAAGGTCTAGGTAAGGATCAGTATTATTTGGATCTGAAATAGTCAGCCACTGTATTCTTTCTATACAAAACAGAACCTACCTCTAGTGTAATGTCCTAAGTCTTCTATAGAGTGCTTAGTATTGTAACTACTAGTAGGATCGCAAATAAGGCTAATACGTAGAAAGAAATGATTTGAAGGCGAGTTTGGGCTTGAGTTGCTTGACTAAGAAGCTACAGATATTATGTTGTCACTATTAAGTAGTTAACGGTGAGAACGAACAGATACACCGGGTGAGCTGCAGTCGGGCGAAAGGCTCTAACGACGGAGCTTACTATCTTTACCAGGCTGGAGATCACGGTGTATAATGTATATGTTCTAAGTAGGGTAAATAGGGTAAATGGGTTCTCGTATTGTTGGAAATGGACCCGGAGAAACTAGAGAGTTAGCCTATTGCACCAAATTGGTGACTCCTAGATATACCACTTGTTCGGTAAGAAAAGCCGATATTATCTATAATAGTGTTTGACACCAGATTGTATGGATCCTACCCTAGTGAAGACCGGAAAGTATAACAAAGGAAATACTAGAGGTAATTGATAAAGTAAGGTTGAGGTGGTAGAAATGCTAGGGCCGTTGGAAACGAACTATTAGGGACAGCTTTATTATACTAGTTAGAGTGAGAGTGGATATTAGGATCAACTAGACTTGGTCTTCTGATATTATCTTTAATGCTTGGCGGATAGATACGTAGGCTAGGTGAGGTAGTCTGTGTTACTTATATATATTGTGTATAGTATATATGAACCTCCCTGGGTAAGATGTATATCTAGTCTCCGAATTAAAGAGAAAAATTTTATGGTGACGTATCTTTGTACCTGAATTTCTATAACTTAGAACCGGGATCGTCTTCACAGTTCCTGGAGAGGCTATGGCTGTTCCTAGGATCAGTACTAGTATCTCTAGGAATGGTATATAGGTTCCTAGAGATAAAGGGGCTCCTAGGATTAGTATTAATCTTTCCTAGCCTGGCAAAGATGATTCTGCTATATGAGAAGCCTAGGCTCGGTCATAGTATGTTTAAGTCGGTGTATATAAGTGTTATAGTGTGTTATAAAGCTTTACTATCCCTTCTATTAACCTATATTAGCTCTTATACTATATATAAAATATGCTGGATAACCTCCTAGATGAAATCTTCCTCTAGATCTTTATGAGTCTTGATAAAAATGACATTGTTAATGTGATCGCTTACTGCTAGAAAACTGTGACCATTGGTGTGACGGCTCTCTTTAATTGTCTCTAGCGCGATAAGATACTACCCCTTTATTGAGCCATACTTAATAGACGACTAGATATTATACGATAGTTATTGGATCTTTATTAGGCAAATCCTAACTCCGAGTACCGTAGGATGAGTATACTTCTGCTTGCTATTGAGATGAGCTATCTACAAGTAGTTAATCTTATGTTGGAACATTACCTATGGCTGTCCTATATTTGTGACTCTTAAGGTCGAGGGCCGTTGTTAATCGCTGTTGTAAAGGGTACTTTTGCTATCGTTGAAACCTTGTTGTAGTACTTAGCGCTGGATGTTAATGGTTGATGTACCGATGGTATGTCCGCTTTGATGTATGTAGTGGAATACTCGGAGCACGCTATTCTAAGCTATCTTCTGACCGATTCCTGTGTGAATGTTAGTATCGAAGATCGCCTTGGGTAGAATGTGCTATATTCTGTAGTTCGAAAAGAAGACTATATCTTAGTGTAGATCCTAGTCCGTGACCCTCGCTTGGATGTTAATTGGTATGGTACCTACTGAAATACGGTACTACTTCTTGCGGTTAAACCCCTTAAGAGAAGATCGTCGCGTGGGATAGTAGAAGCCCTACTACTTAATCTAAAGGTTGATATCGATTACTAGGATTCTAGGGGGCGTACGGTGTTGTGGTACGTGGTAGATCTGTAGAATGAGGAGCTAGTGTAACTGCTCTTGGACTAGAATGACCTTTATTTGAATGACGCGGATGATGGAGGTCTTACCCCTCTTACACAAGTATCGGAGCATCAAAGCCCTCGCTTGCTCTAGATGCTTATGAGGCAGCCGAAAATATGTATTAATGCTATGTTGAGCTTGGTTTTCCCGCTGTGGGCTGCGTGTTGGGTGCGTTCGCTCGGGGTAGTCTAGAACTTGTTGATCTAGAGGTCTATTTAGATTAACGTAAAAGCCCTCTTCTCCTTTGGAACTTTGCTCCTTCATGTGGCTGTTATTAACCAATATTTAGATATTGTGTCTCTTCTTCTCTCGTAAGGTGAAATTGTATTGAATGAGGTTGGGCCCTTGGGCTTTACAGCCCTTATGTTTGCTGCTGTAAGCGGGTATACTGCATGTGTTGAACGGCTGTTGCGCTACCTATAGATTGATCTCTAAGTTTAAGATCCTTACGGATACTGTGCTTTCCGCTTGGCGATACTAAATAGATATGTTCGGTCGATTAACCTGCTACGTACTGTATTCGTGCGGTAAACGGTATAGAAGCTGGCGTCACTATCGGTATAGCTTCAGCCATAATGAGTAGAAGAGACCTAGAAATGTTTAGTGTAATCAATATTTGCGAGACTACATTCCCCGTCCTAGGTTTATAGAACTCAGAAATTGCTATATAGCACAGCCCAGGGAGCATGGACGTTAGACAACAGCCACTGGAAAATGCGGCCTGCTTAATTACTGACTTCCCTGCCCTAAAAATTAATTCTAGAGTATATAACCCGTAGGATAGACTGTCACAAGACCCTATTGTTCTCTATCGTTTGCGTGTGATATAAGCGTGATCAGCCGTGGCTACAAGACACTAAGCGCCGGATAGAAGTCTTTGTGCTAGTTTCACTGATGGCCCGTCCTCCGTCTATTGTATTAAGTGTATACAGTCGCTCGCCAGATACACTACGGCTAGACTTCTCAACGGCTACGCCTGCCCCGCGGGATGATCTTCCCGAGATTACACCACTGGACTACCGAATCTTTGTGGCGGGGAGAACCACCATGGCATATTAGAGTTGACAAAGACACACCTCAGTACAGTAAAGAGCGTGGCGCAATCACTGAGAAGCGCAGCCAGCGTAATCAGCAAGCTCACGAGAATGAGTTCTACCGTACCTGTTGCGCGAACTTCTGCTATCTAGCGACAGCTGTGGTTGACATTATACAAAAGCTTGTATTGGAAGAGTACTTCCATTCCGACCAATTTATGTCAGTCAATGCACGCTTGTGCCGGGCTACATTGGCTCTTTGGGCAGCCTTGGACGCATCAAGGGTGGAGGAGGACAGGGCGGAACGTATTTGGATGCAGGAATTGGATATGCCAACACCTTCGAAGCCATCTTCCGAGTGGATCTAGAGGTTTTTGGCATCGTATGCGATTGAAGGTCGAGCTGGTCGAGTCTTGGGTATTGGGATCTAAGAGTGTTCAGTGAGATGTGACGGACGAGGCGACAGCCCGGGCATCCTGTTTCACTCGTGAATTTCCGTTGGAGCGAACGTTGGCAGGGTGGGAGTACAGAGAAAGTACCCGCTTGAAACGCTGAGGGGTACAAGCTGATGTCAAAGGGAGAATAGAATGATACCCAATCACAGTCCCAATCATTGAACCCTTTTCAGTCTAAGGAATGCCATATGTGAACTCAAAAAGGCCACTTCGCGCCCTTCATTTTGTTGCGGGGCGCTTCCTGCTTCTCGCTTCAATTTGGGGTGCAAAATGACGACTATTCAGAATCAAATGAGTTTGGCTCTGGAGGTTATACTTTGAAGGCTGCGCGGCTGAGGTACAGGTTGGGCCTTCATTTGGATTGGAATCACCATTAAATAGGGCAGCGGCTCTCTGTCCCCTAGCATTGCTCAAACGGTGACAAAGATACCGCACATAGTACATGCCTATGACGCCTACTAACATTCCACTACTTTGAGTCCGCCTCTTCTTACGACGTACGAGGTGATGACGCCATGTCATTTCATCTCACTGACCGTTGATAAGCCGGCTACATCACACAACGCACACCTCATCAAAGACTGGCATCCACCAAGCTATTTCGTGACCCGAGGCCTCTACCAGCAAAATTGCAGGGTCCTTGCCTACCTCGCATATTGGACAAGATACATCACCTACACAACATCAAATAAATACAAGCCATGGCACGCCGCGAGACTGATTCGCACAACACCGTATCTCAACAAATCCCTTGTATTTAGAGTAAGTCAGATATTGGATCAAGTACGTTTTCGTAGAGTGCCATCGGCTATCACTGCAAGATAACAGGTCTGGAAGAGTTCTGTGTAGGTGGAAATCAAAAGAATGTATTGTCTCGAAATGGGTGACGTTGTGCTGAACTCTGACTAGCCCTATCCTATCGCGACGCTGTATCGAGCAGGTTAGATTTCTACTATTATATGAAATTCCTCATATATGGACTCTGCCTCCCTAGAATTATGACTACGCACCTAGCTACTGTGCTAGAATGGGCCTCTTGAACAAAAGGGCTGCTGCTACGAGATACTGGTCTAGAAGAATCAATTATCCATCAATTCGATTGGCCTCAATTGAGAATTCGAAGATTCTCTTTCCTGGCAACAGTGGCTACGGCTTGTACACTCCTATCCATGAGCGTTGGTCGTATCGTTCCAATCTTCTCTCTGGGTAATTCTTGGCCCATATGAAGGGCCTCTCCAAGCAAGTTGCCACTGACATTTGAATCAGGTCCGAAGTGGAGCCATCAATTTTTTCAAAGTAGCATTCAAAGCTCTCAAACTGGATCGGCTTCCACCGGTTCAGCAGTAGACAAGGAGCCGGGTTCACTTGTGCTCTTGGCAATCAGATCATGGCCGTGGTTATACTAGAAGATATCGAGGGTCAGGAGCTTGTAAGACCCTAGCAATAACAATGTTACTAATAAGGTGCAAACCTTAGAGAGGACAGCAGAGATCAATTCAGCATCTTGGACATTGACACTCTTGAGCAAGAGTCGCAGAACGTTTTTGTAATCATGTGCCTCACTCAACACCTGCGCGAGCTTCCTGTTGCTGTTGTGAGACTCTTTCAGCTTGGAGGATCAGGGTAAATCCATATGTTACCTTTGCATCTCAAGCGACTTCTTTTCTGGATATTGGCAATCATAGTGCAGCAAAGCACAGCGTTGGCACCGTGGGCTTTCTCCTGTACACCTGGTTTTACTCGCACGGCAAGAAGAACAGGCACAGGTTATGCGGCGGGCCACATAGGATGTAGAGTTGCGTAATCTGGGGATCGGTAACTTCAAAGGGACAGAGGGCGCAGCCATAGAGCCGGCCTCATTTGACTCATCGGGTTGTTTACGAACCGCCTGGGCAGCCATTTCTCTATGGCGAGAGTGGCTGCTCTGCTGGCCAGCATCTATCAGTAATGGAGCATAATGTTCGTTGATCAAGTGATTCACATCCATTACGAGCCGCTTCAAGCAAAAAATTTAACGGCAGTCTTCTGGTGCGATGAATGGAAACAGTCTTGAATAGTACGTCTAAATTATTTCCAGAAATTTCAGGGGGCTTCGTTTGATCCGTTTGCACAGTGTGTGGGAGTAATTCGTTGGTCGATACAGTCGCAGTGGATCGCTTTTCGGAGCTGTGCAATGAAATTTTAGTATTAAAAATTCTGATTGGAGCCCATGCTCCCACTACCCACTCACCTTTCGTTGTGATATGCGGTCCGCAAATCAGGACGGTACAACTGAGCCCCACATTCCGCCCCAAACGTATTCATCTAATACGATCTTGGCGACTTGCTTTCTTAGCAATTTCAATCCCATGGGCACATTTAGCAATTGAATCCAATGCATTGAGACCGAGACGTAGATATTCGGTCACGTGCACCGCGAAATCGAAACGCGGGCATTTCTTGTTGCATCCTGGGAGATCACCCAATATCCAGCATCTTCAATATTTTATCGACTGCTCACGCTCAATCCCAAATTGTCTTTCTTTCCCTTCTACTTTCTATTTCACTCCTCCCGCCTTTGGTAGAAAACTGTTTAACGGTTCCAGGACCAGAGCGGTGCACATCAATCTCAGGGTGATGCGATCCACCACAATTCCTCGGATCTAGGGCGTGAAATCATATTTATTCCGACGATAGGTTGAGGTTAGAAGACGCCAAGATATTTTGAATTTTATTAAACACCACGCACATGTTCCTGCTGGTCTGGGAATGCTTAATGAGGATTTCATATTGCAATTGGATCAAATTACAGAGCATCAAATGAAGACACCATGTATTTAGCATTCCGGAGAAAGGATCTGCGTGCTGCTTTGAGGCTATTGACCAATGATGCTTAAATATCCCGACTACCCTCGAGTGGCTCTTTCTCACAAGAATGAGCCCAGTGTTATCAAATTTGGGCTTGATTCGGCAATGCCTGGGGCCCCAGGTTGCCAGAATTTTTCGTATTTTTCGCATTGACCATCTATCCCTACGCAACACATTTCGTCCATCCTGTTTCGCAAGGGCTCGCCAACGGGATGTTCACGATTGAATCTTGCGACCGTGGCTGTTCCGACGATTAGGGGTTGAGAGTGACGACTTGCTACAACAACTTGATAAAGCTATTGATCTAGCAAATGCTCAAGCTCTGTCAGCAATGAGATGTAAATAGTTTGCTTGTTTTGGAATCTACCAATTCCATCAGCAACTCAGTAGACTTATTTGCTGCCTTAATATTCGCGAAACGTATGTCTAAATTCTAGCTTTGGACGAGCATGGAAACGTTGACTGTCATGATATCGGCACTCTTGTGGGCAACCTTGTGTCTCGCCTTCTCTCTTTGGCAGCAAATTGCCCATGTTAGTCGTTCTTTGCGTGCACAGACCGATTGGGAAACCCCATTTCGAATGATGGCTTCTACTCGTTCAATGACTGTTGTAGTTCAAAGATTCATTATACTCTTTTAGAAGAATACATGAAGTTACATATACAACCGAGAAGATCAAGTTGATTGGTAATCAACTTGATACTACATAACTATAGATATCTTGGAAATTAATTCCGATGGTGCGGATTAGTTCCTGATCTGCATCAGCCTCATATCACAACATTTCCCCCAGGATCGCTTTGCTGGCAGGACGATACTGGGATTGAGCGGAGCAGTCAGGCCTCCGCAAAACACTCAAAAACCTTCGTGGGAAAATAGAGTGGAAAGAGCGCCTGCGCTGTCACGCGAGAGCGAGCCACTAAACGTAATGTGCGAGTAGCGTCCCGCGCTGCCCCTCCAGAAGCCACGTAGAAAGCGGGAAGTTGCAGCCATGAACGTACACCCAAGCCGGGCATCCAGAGCTGTACATATTGTCCTGGCTGTGCATCCCACCGCGCAGGAACCGCGATGTCAATCCAGAGAAGCCGATTGAAAGACCTCGCGATAGCGCGTTGAGGGGTGAAGCGCCACGACCCGTGGGACCACATGGCTTGTAAAAACGTGACAATATCCCAAGCAATCCGTGCGCAGACTCCTAGTAGAACCCAGCTATAAGCCGACACCCGGTCGATCAGGTGGTAGGCAAGGGGGCCAATGCCAAGTAGAGCGAGCGCATAGTGATCCTTGATGACGGCTTGCGGTCGACGTCGGAGCAATACACGGAGTGTGCAAGGTAGTATGAGGACGAGACTAGATGCAGCCTGGTACAATCAGTAAGTCAATAGTTTCTTCGACAGGGAGTGAAGAGGGGCCAGATAGGGGAAATTGCGGCCCACACGACTTACTAAGAACGGGGTGACGAAAGGAGCACCTGGGCGTAAAACCTGCGTTACAATTCCAGAGCAGGACACATGGAGACTGGTTTGGAGGACACAGGCCCGGTCTAATAACCGATGAGCCCACTCGAAAGTACCCCGATCGACGCGGCAAAACGGCCGGAAGGCTGAAGCTAAAACCTGTACAGAGGGGCAGTAAGTGTGACTCCCAGACAGCCAGACCGCTTTTGCATGTCCGCCCATGACTGGGCTCGGAAGCTGAGCGCGATAGCATTAGCAACCACTCCGGCAATGACGATGCCTCCTCGCGAGTATGACGGAATGTCTAGGAATTGAATAGTATACGGCACGGGTCTTAGGAAAACATGTTTCCAGGAAGCCACAGATTGCACGGTCCGGAGCAAATGGCCAAGTTGGTGCCAGAGACAATAGACCAGCCAGAACAACAAGACCAGGAGCGCGGAGAGGCCATACTTACTCTAAATAGGTATACTGTCAAGCCAGTCTACGAATCTTGAAGTAGTGCGAGATATGCTGCATCACAAGGAACGGTCAAGTGTCATGAAGATGCATTTATACTTTTGTCCCGACCAATTTATTTCGCTGCAATAATTGAGGGCCTCAAAATCTACATGTCATTGTAGAAGATGCCGTGCGTAGCCGGAGGATTGATGAGGAACAGGATTGGCAGTACATACCTGCATGGATCATGAACGGTGGAGGTTCTTTCTTGAGTACAGTAATGCTACGACATTTTCATCAACAGTTGATGAGGGGCAGACTGTTGAACTCTGCGCCCATGCTTCACCTTTTATTCTCATCGGGGATATGAGAGTCTTTTCTTCAACAAGGAAGTGTTGGCCGGCGAAGAAACAATCATGACCCATTTGTGGCAGTGAGTGGTGATTCACTCCAGGGGCGCCTCATCACTGCCTGCGTAAGGTGATGACCAATTGCGACGCCTTTCTACCCAGTGCCCCAAGAGTGCAGATGTCAACACAAGATACCAACACAAAAATGCGCCTGCATTTCAAAAAACCGATCTCTTTAAGACTGAACATTCTTTGTTGTACGTGGCCACGGAAGCGTCACCTAGGACCAATCCACATCAGGCCGATGCGACTCCACTAAAGGAATTGCTGGAACATGCATCGGCCAAATTTCCATAGCAACTGAGCCATCTGAGTCTTGCTTTTTCAACAATGAGCAAGCAGAGAAGTTCCAGGTGGCAGAGGGGCTTGGTGTCGAAAGTCCGATCTGTAACACACCGGATGACTTCAAGTCGTTTGAGAAATGAGCATCAAAATCCCGGTTTAAAACGGGTTTGGAAACGTACGAGCCACCGCTTCCCCTTCCATTTTCGCTTCAGAAAATAACTGACCCCGGTTTAGCTGGGATAATAAAGCATGTAAATACAAGATCGCCGAATCGGTGGAAACCAGCAATGGTCCGGAAGATTTTGCTGAATATACCTTCGTGGCCCGTGAACGCATGGGTTCGTGATATCTTTGCTTATGGAGGAGACCTTACTAATGTATGATAGATCGAAATACCGAGGAGGTGACGCCATTTATAGACGCCATATCAGAAGGCCTGCGGGACATACTTCGTGAGGTGCTGCTCGATATAAATTCTGTTAGCCTGATGGAGGACAGGCCATCGGTATTCGAGAAATAGTATTACCTCCAAGACAACCGATGACCTGTATTTTGATCAAGCAAAGTGTCCTTTTCCATTTCATTCCTGAGCTCGAAGGATATGCGAGTAACTTGGAAAACGGTGTGGACCAAGGATCGGCACATGCGCAGCATCTCCGCCTACTCATTGGCCACCTCAAGCACGCTTATGCTCCTACCTCGCAACGTCTCAAGTCAATGTTGCAGCACGATCATATTACGTATGACCTCCTCCCGGCACTTTTTAAACCCGAATCCTATGTCTATACAACATGCTTTGGCACAGGAGAGCCGCGGTGTGTCATTTTCGACGCAGCGGAAGAGTTAACACAACATGACGAGACGTGGTTCAATCTCGAATGCCGATTCCTTGATTATGATGGAGTCAGATTCGGCGAGGCCGGGATCTTTCTGCGTGTACCAAAGTTCCGAGGGTCAAAGCCGATCGCGACACTCGAGGCTTACCCTCTCCGCCACCATCCGAGTCACGAGCAGGTCCGAAAAGACCTAATCGAGAGAGGCCAGAGGTTTCGGGATTTTGTTGGCTCGCACATTCAACACTGTAAAGGCAGCGCATTCTTTATGAACAAGGGCAAGGCTATCAAACTCAACATCAAAAGTCGAGTCGCAGTGGACGCCGCATTTTTCCATGAAATGCAGCCAAACTATTCCAGGCCGTCTCTGCGCGACATGGCATTGAAGGAAAAGGATGGCATTGCCGTCTTTGACATAGGTGCGATGTTCATGGAGGAACGTGAGCAAGAAAAAGAGAAAATGCGAGGAGACGGCATGGAACCACAAAAGCTGAGCGAAGCCGATATGCTAATCGCCTGTCCAACAGTGTGTTGCTTCAGTTCCAAGGAAAAAATGTTTTGTATGTGACGCGCTCAACAATTGATTGAGGACCAGCTAATGTGACTTCAGTGGAATGCGCAGTCAGTGCTTTTAGGGATGTAAATTGGTCACCTGAATCATTTGACTGCCTGCAAATTCCGCCAGAGAACAAGAAACTCCTCTTGTCGATGGCAATAAACCGCTTGGGTTTGATACCGACAGTACCCTTTGACGACGTAATTGACGGAAAAGGCCAAGGACTCAACATCCTTTTGGAGTATGTCAACAAGTTATTTATGCAATATATCAAGACTTCCGTCCTAACCAGAAATAGTGGGCCACCCGGCGTCGGAAAGACATTCACGGTTGAAGCAACATCGGAATATTTCAAGCTGCCTCTATACTCGGTACGAGCCAGTTGTGGCGCTGATAGTGGCCTCGCTAACCTTCTCAGATATCTGCAGGCGAGCTCGTTGTCGACCACGGAGATTCTAATGCGCTTGAACAACAACTTGAGACTATTTTCAAGATCGCGCATCACTTCAAAGCCGTGCTCCTATTGGACGAGGCAGATGCATTTATGGAGCAGCGTACCTCTTATCACGGTGCTCACAATCGTCTGGTGACTGTTTTCCTCCGAAAGCTAGAATATTATCAAGGCATTTTATTCTTGACTTCGAATCGGGGTATTCAGTTTGATGAAGCAATCCTCAGCCGGATCCATTTAATCATCACGTATGAGGGCCTAAGCAGGGAATCTCGCAAGGGTCTCTGGTCAACCTTTTTGGCCAAAGCACATACAGTTCAAGGGTCTGCCAAGATTGAGGAGCACGACCTTCGGCGGTTGGAAGCGTTGCATCTCAATGGGCGCGAGGTGGGCTCCGGAGCGCTGCCATTTACTTCTTGTTTGTTGACTGACATCGATAAGATCAAAAACATCGTAGCAATTGCACATGCTCTTGCTGAGGCGAATGCCAGCCAAGTGGACTATCAATACATTGAGTTAGCCGCCGGCTCACGTCAGAAATTTTCGAAGGAGTTTGGCAGACAGGAGATGTATATCGCAGCATACCTGGGGAACCCATGCTAGCGATGTTGTTTATTACCGATGTCAAGCGGCTCGCCTCTTGTTGCGATATTTCCATAGTACACGACAGTCCATATCATCAGCCCTGAGCTTAACAGTTGAATCCACGTTTTCATACAATCCATGGCTCCTCAGAAAGCCTATTCTGTACACGAAAGTCTTATGGACAGAAATTCAATGAACGTTCGCAATGATGATTTCTTCGTAAAAGGCTTCAGCCAGGCCCGCATAATCATTCGGGGATGTCGAAGATGTAGGAGCGTGAGTCACCTCCAAATTCTCATTGATAAAGACAACGTGAGTATCACGAATAAGATAACTAATTTGAGAGGTATGAGGAACGTTCCATTCTCACGAAACACGGACACGTTTCGCATCTGCTGCCTCTGCTTGACATAGTCGTCGTTTTGCGGCCCCTGGTCGCTGCTTCGTCGGTCGGCATCTCAGACTAGAGCGGTTAAAGGCAATGATCAAAGCACGCCCAAGCTCTTCACTCCAAAGAACATTGTCTCGCCTGAGGTCTCCATGTATTATCCCGGGAGCTTTGATTTCCTTGTTGGATTTGCGAATTTCACGGCAAAGCCCCTGCGTCAGCTCTATCGTCGCTGTGCTTTTACCCCCCCCAGCCCATTATGAGCATATGGCGGATTTGTCCAGCACCATGGAGAAAGTAGATTTTTGCTAAATCAAGAGTACCCAGAAACACAGGCACGGCGGATCCTTGGGCCCGCCGCAAGGTTTGGTATACCTGCGCCTCACGAGAAACTTCTTTCCACAATCCTGAAGTGGTGCCTTTGCCGATAGCCGTATAACCATATTTCGCGCAAGTAAGTTTGAATGGAGCACCATAGGATCCACAACCGCCAAGAGGAATGCATCGATCGATATCCTCGTCCAATTGACTTTTCAGTGAAAACATTAAATCTTCTGCAGAGATAGGGTGCTGAGTCGCGTTGTCCTGATCCTGGCGATGGAGGTCCACGTTCGGACACAGCTCATCTAGGGACTTCCCAGTCTGAAGGCCGAGTAAAAATCGTAGCGTGCAAAATTGTGCAGCGCGGCGTCGGGAATGGTCTTCTTGATCATGCCCTGTCTCTTGCTGGCGACCGGGTCGTCGAGCGGACGGTGAAGTTGTAACTTGGCTGATCCTCCGCTCGTGGCCAGCTGTTTGGTAAATTTTTTTGTACTGTACTACAGTACCCACATCTGCTGTCTTACCTCGTTCAACACATGATTGATGAGGAATTTTAGTTCAGTCAATTAATTTGAAGGGGTCAAAAAAGTGAAGAACACTATCGTTAATTGATGATCAACGGTACTCATGACCGTATTACGTTAAATGAGAGCCTAACAAATAAGAAAAAAGCGGAAGTGCATTTTTGATACTCTCAAGAAGAGGGATTTAAATGAGGTTGGCTGTGATTTTGGGGTAGGGTCTAAATTTTTAACCGTAAACCAGAATTTGCTTGACTTAAACGGTCGATATTGACACACTCGACTTGATAGATTGATCAATGGTTGTGTTATTGCCATATCTAGACGCTTTAAAATTATTTTAATTGACACCAGCGATGATCAACGGGAAACAGTGCAATTGAAGAGACTCAGTCAAATTAAAATTGCTTTATATTTCAATGTAAATGATTGGCTACTCAACAAGCCATTCTCCACCAAGAGCGTGGGCCCTTGCATTTCCTAATATCTCTGCAACCCCAGGGTCTTTCACTCGAAATTATTTCAACCTGCTTGTCATGACCACCTCCGGTCCATTCCGAGTCCGGGCTCGCCCGGGATCCACTTGGCTCATGTAGAACTTAGCTTGTCTTCATTGTGGCTCCATTCTCAACCACTTCAGATATAATTGTATCATTATAATAAGATAAGGCAATCCCCCAAAACTCATCATAACATTCTTTATGAACCCATTCCTACGGTAAAGGGAAACCATATAGCAAATTGGACGACCATTCATTGGGCAAGCATGTACATCTAGCCGCCGATGCAAGATTTGATTGGCTCACTTACTGTTACTGTTTGCTCCACTTTGGAGTGCCATTCCTTCGATTCTCCATTATAATCGGGACGCTCACTCATATAAGTGAAAGGGTTGACGCAGGCATTAGGTCAAGTATTCCTTGTACTGACAAGATAATCCAGCTATAACAAAACCCAACAAAATGAGTTAAGTGAGCTAGCACAGCTTTGAAGCATATTTATACTGGAGGTACTATCGGTTTCGGATAAGAAAGGAATCCAGTGGTGAGTACAAAAGGAAGAAGCTCAAATGGAAAGGAGATAGCGGAGCCTACAGAACGAGGTTTGCAAGGCAGCAGGCTAGTTATTGGACCGCGTCCACTTTGGCATCGATCCGGATAATCACTTTTCCTGAGCATGCTGGGGCCGCTCGTTTATGACGTGTAGATGACTGTTCGGCGGGCAAGCTGTTCATGGCTGAAGGTTCCTCTGGCGAATGAATGCTAACGGTGTTTCGGGGAGCGATTGTTGAGGCGATTCAGATGCAATTTATAAGTCGACGACAATGCTAGGCGTCATCTCTGGGATCTGCGCAATGGATCTGGGAATAAGGTTACTCGCTCCTGGGAATCTTCTTGGTGCTGGGATCATAGGTATGGTTCCTGGAGGTCAGGGTTGTGCTTGCTTGGGTTTTACCACTAGGCTAACAGGTCATAAAGGCACAATCTTTGGTCGACCAAACATCCAAGCTACTATATGCTCGATCTCTAACAAGCAGCATTTGGTTTCCTAGGTTCAGACGGGGCTAATACAATGACACCGCTCACGGTTCTATACATGCGTGTTTTACGTTTTGGCTTTTACAGACCTGGAACTTACATGTCCCCCTCTGTCCCTTTTGTCTCGTTTTATCAAGACCAACTCGCGTTCCCTCAAAAGAAAAGCAGTTCTGTAGTGGCCCTTTGCCAGCCCCAGGAGCCGAGCCTGGGGCTTCAGGAGCGACACAGCTCCCAGGGCCTTGTGAGCCATCTTAGAGATCGACGGGAGTGTATCTGGGAATAATCCCTAGGAGGTTGGTTGGTGCTGGGATCATAGCGGTTGGTTTCCAAGATTCAAATGGGGAATAGCATATCTCTTGATTTGGTCACAGTAACACTAATCCTGATTAGAAAGTATGGGCAGATCCGATGCCTTTGACTAAAAATAGTTTCAGTCTTTTAATGTTTCTTTCTTGTCGCATTTTCAAATTCATATATTTAAACCCCAAAAACAAGCCAATGTATGATGAGAGGAAGCTTTTCTTTGTGTATCGTTGTAGGTGTGTACTGATAAGATGAGGACTATGCCCAACCTTTGGGTGCGAGCGCCATATGTCTTCCCTTGCCATTGTAAGAGACGGACTTGGAAAGTGTGATACGTCTTTCCACCTCTGTTTCCACCCTCAACCTCCAATTCTTAGTCATTCGTTGATTGTATTTACGCCACAACTTAGGCAAGAATTGAACGTCTTGTGCACAGTACTGTATGATTTTGGCAGACAGTGGGCGAGCAATGAATACCTCGTAAGAGCCGCCGCACTCTGGAGCAAAAAGTTTCCGTCCGGCGTCTTTACATGCTTTCCATTTTGCTCTTTCACCTAGCGTCATAGGAGCATCATGTTCAATGCACTTTCCTAGTCCATTCACAAGTCTTCTCGAAAATGTGCGCGTTGCAAGCTCCATCAACTGAAGATCTTGCACTCCAGCTAAATTTATCCCATAATGGCTGAATAGGGCATCTGAGTCATTGCGGACATCGAAGAAGACTTTTGGAATAGAGGGTGATTCGAGGATGGAACGTAGAGTTGAACCTTCCGATGTGGGATGAGAGAAAGCCTTGTCTTTGAGAGTGTAGATATCGACAAGATATGTTTTTTGTGTTGAAGAAACAAAGACCTGGAGAATAGATATCGTGCCATTTCGAGAGAGATTTGTTCCTTCAAGGTCAATGAACAAAGAGGGGGGCCCAAGCGGGAAGATCTGCTAGTGCTTTCAACAACTCAGTCAGGTCTCCAACGGTGTCGATAATCAAAAGGGAAGGTTCATCTTCCAAGGACGCGGCTTGTAACGTGGTTGCGAGTGCTGGCAAGTCTGTAAGGCTAGAATCCGCCGATGGTGACGGTGAAGGTGGCTTATCGTCTGCTTTGTCGACCATCTTCGGTATTCTAAAAGGGTTCGCGACAAGCCCTTTTCAAATTAACGACTGAGGAATTACTGAGAAAAGATGACTTACGGAAAATTCTTCAATAGAAAGAGAAGGTTTTTCTAGTTAGAGACATGCAGTGGGTGAAGACTTCGAAGAATCAAGGGCGGATCTGAAAATGTATACTCGAGGCCTTGGGAAAGGGGTCGAACATATCATAAGTAACCGACACAGATTGCCTACAGCTTGCCAAAATGTCGCTTTCAAAAGGGTCACGCTTATATGCACCATACATGACATGGACCACGTCTCTCAGTTCAATTGGTGAAAATAGCGTCCATAATGCACGCTGCACCGTTCTTTTGTCTTATGCTATCAGTTGCGTACTTACTGCCAATGGGACCTGGACACGTTGAATTCAAGAGGCCTCCCGAAGTCTTCTGTATGACGTGTCAAAAAAGCAATGTTGAGACTGCGAGAGCCCGTGCTCTGTTATCTTGCTGAAGCGAAACAAGGTAACCACGTAGACATATACTTGACATGAAATTTTCATCGGCTTTCCGGTATCTTGACTGCTTCCTCCAACTAATTTTTTGGATACTGCACGATGCTTTGCGCTCCCTGCCACCGATATTTTCCCACTCAACATGCTTTGGAACAGCACCTTCAGTCTTCCAAGCATCGTTGCGAGCTTTGCAACATATTTTTTAAATCGGCCCACTCAAAGAGTCAACACATAAACAGCTCAAGAACTCATCTTAGACAAGCAAGTGGCGATGAATCTGCCAATACTTTTCTGCAGACACCCCCCGCCAACTTTGGAGTAAAGAGCCATCAAAGGCCAGCGATGATTTTAAGCGCGACCGCTGATAATCCGGCTCAGCCATATACTGGCATACCCCGAGCTTTGGTCACTCCTGTCTTTCGAATGGCCTGTCGTCTTCGCTACAGTAAGCCCGATGTTGAAATGCTCTTGAGTCATGTCAGTACGCAGTTAGACAGCTCAGTCATATCGGCTCTCATTGAAGCTGCTCTTCGACTGCTACCGCCCGAGAGTACCTCCGAAGGTAAAGCAGAGGCGATAGAAAGAATGAAGCAAAAAGGGGAGCGGGCGTTACTGCACGAAGTATCTTTCATCGACCAAGTGAGAGAATTCGGCCATCAATTTCTGACGGAGAATGAACAAAAGAAAAAACAACTTTGCCCAACGCCTGATATCCGATTTCATGAGCCAGTATTAATACAAGGACACTTATGCCACTGGATCGAGTACAAAAGCTATTTCGGCTTTAAATCAAATCCTTTTATCGCCTCGAAGGACAAAAAGCAATTTAAGAGATATGCTTCTGAGCTAGGACCTGGCGCTGTCGTTTACAAGCTGGGCTTTGAAACTGAACACATTATAACGACTGAAATTTGTTTCTTTCGCGAGGCGGAAGTGCTCCATCTCCTGGGAAGCAGTTAGGGTTTAAATCAAAATGCGGGAATATATGAAGTTTTCGTTGTGGAACTGTGTATCTACTGGGAGGAACAGATTGAATCGGGTATGATCTCCTTTACCCAAAAATTCTGTGCTTCATGAACTCTCATGCATTGGCTAAACACCTTTCTATAGTATTCTAATCGGTCAGTCCTCTTTCTCTCTGCCCTCGAGAAAGCCCCTGTTCTTAAACTCGACAATGCTACAATTGGCCAATGTCTGGATCTTCGTTCGCTACCTTGTCTTTTTTTGTCATAGTTTCAGTTTCAGCAAGTCAGATCGTGACTTACTCAAACCTCTTTAAACCCTTAACAAAGGCATCAATAAGTGTGCTTGTGCTTGTAGCTCATTTGCTGGTCACCTACGCTGGTTGCATACATGCTCTTTTTTATTGGTTTGCCGCTCGTTTGTACTGCGTGTTTGTATTGAATCAAAAGTGGGGTTATGCCGCAATTGAATGGCTCGGCGATAAATGATTGGCTGATAAGTTGCCCCTTCTATTCGGTCGCATCCACTGTAGAGGCGGTTTAGCCCCTGCTCTACTGCTCTACGGGTCAATACTATTTTACGATGGTTTTTCACGGGCTAGAGAATTCGGAAGTGACGAGCTTGGTGTTTCGCCGGCGTTGATATCTATCGGTTTATCAAACCCATTTCTGCGTGGCCTCTAGAGTAATGTACGTCTAATCCAAAGAGGCAGTTCTGTAGTGTCCCTTTGCCAGCCCCAGGGCCTCGTGAGTCATCTCCGGGATCGACGAGAGTGCATCCAGGAGCTTTGTTGGTACTGAGATCACATGTTTAGTTCCCGGGTTCAAAGGAGGATTAGCGCATCTCTTGATTTTGGTCACATTAACACTAATCCTAATTAGGAAATATGTAATTGCTGACCACTAACTTAATGAGCAGATTTAATAAGCTGTGGATACACTTTGCGCAAGCGAACAGATGTTGTAAAAGGAGTCGCTCTTTCTGGCAGGTAAGTTGGATGATCTCTTGAATCGTTTTATCGCCCAAAACCGAACCAATTAGTATGTACCCCTTTGAGCATGTTATTTTTTTTATGTCACGCAGGCGACGATACTTCCCCATGATATTTATAACTAGCAGATGGGACCGATGTTTATCGGATAGAGCCTCATACATTTTCCTATCACATCCGCTCCCCCAGATATCCCAGATATATTGTGATTTTTGTCTATTCTTCAAGATCCAATCGAAATTTAGAAGAGCGTCTGATAACGTATCGTCTAGTAGGGAACTCAGTCACCCTGGTATATGTGTGTATATCTAAATAGAGCAGAGAAGCTCAAATAAATATAATGAATTTTTTGCTTTCCACTTACTTGAGTCGCAAGAAATGAAAAGCAAGATTTAACTTGACCGAATCATATTCGCTCATATAGATAGGGCTTTCACTTGTTTGGCTGTACCTGTAGTGCAATGCACATTCAAGTCTGGATCGGGTATCCCGGCCATGCCGTTACGTTTCGATGTGACACTAGGTAGAATCTCAGGTATGATTATCTTGCATTGCAGATAAAAGGACTAAAAGAGCGTCTTGCATTTTGAGACACAGGGCCCTAAGTGCTGCCTTGGCGGCTTGCCAATCCGAACAGTCTCCGAAGTGTCGATGACGCAATTTAATGCGCCTGATTGCGCATAGCAAGCTGCCTTACTGAATCCAATTTTTGGAGCCTCATCTCGGAATATTAGCATATAAGGCCTGAACCCTATAGACATGCGACCTTGTTCTCATTTTCCGGTATATAAACTTTCAAAGCCTACTATCCTTTGCTATGCAGTCTTTAGAACTAAGCCCCGTATTGCAGAGTTCTGCAGGACCCCCACCAGTAAACCCAGTTGAGGGTTCGTTCAACACTGAAAATGGTCGGCCAAGCATCATTCATGAGTATTGCTTAAAAGCGGATCGTGAAGGCCGCAAAAATTGTATATGGATCTGTATGAAGAAGCGAAATAGGTGGCTCGCAAAAGATGTGTGCCTAGAGAAGGAGGGACTGGTACTCGGGATATCGGAGTTGCGCATGCAATGCAGCTGGTGGAAACGGCATTCACTTTATTCTGTCGTAGGGGTCAATGAAGTCATGGTGAGACCTATCTCTCTTTGAAAGAGAACAAGTTGTATACTGACAAACCATCTTGAGTTTCGATGCGCTAAGTACGACAAAAGAGCAAACGAAATTTCTGTATACGTGAAAAATATCGATTATGACTCTGAAATTGAAGGGATTCAGAACACCATTGAAGAACCAGGCTGGGATGTTGATATCTGGGAATGCGGTGTGAATATACAGGGGAAATGCCACGACCCTGGAGTTGAATGCCCTAATTCACGCTGGGATACAGCGTTAGGAGAATTTTACTGCCCTATTCAGCACTCCCGAGCGTCGCGACTGCGGCAAGACGTCTATAAGTGGTTACCTTCAATGGTAGAGTGCTATTGGCAAAACGTAATCAAACCAGACGACGCCGAATTTCTTGAGGCCGGCAGTTTTGTCACCTTTTATCGGTATGCCGCGCTTCCATAATTCCTCGACTTTAATCTAATGGGATTGTTTTGGACAGGAATCTTGCATGGGATGCTTGGCAAGATGCAATGAAACCATACGGACAGACAATAAATGGGTTTAAGTTGGTAGAAGGCTGGCATATACGCTATCTATTATGTCTTACCGCATGTAGTCTCTTACTCAGTGCTTGCGTCGTAGCAGTATCGACTGCAATTCAGGGAAATCTGGAAGCAGGTCTGACAGCAGGCTCATATGCACTTGCAATCACAACACTTGGTCTGGCGGTTTTGACATTCCTGAGTGCTATATTTTGAGCTGGACCTTAGGACCTACTGATACATTCCTGGAATCGCTTCAGCCGGTCCTGGGAATCTGTAGCAGACCTCTAGGGGCAGGTTAAGCTCCCAGGAACAGTAAAACTTCGATCAATGAGCTTAGAGGTGGTTGCAACAGTGTCAGGGATTGACATAAGGTATTACACGATAAGCGCAGGAGAAGGTCCAACATGGCGCTTCTGAATTCCCTAAACGCGGGGAAGCTATCTTTTACTTCCCCGCGCTAAGTCTTGTATCTAAAGTCGACCATAGCTTGCGCGATATTGATTATTCATTTGAAAGACACACTCCTCATCTAAAGATACGTTAGACCCTCACTAATCGCCCGAGCCCCACTGGTTACAACCCAGTCCTCACAATAGTAAGCGGCGGAGTAATTCTAACTGGGGGACACTCTATGATCCTAGAGAACTGTCTTCAGGAACTGCGTACATGATTCCAGGAGTGTCAGAGATTGACACGATAAGTGGAGGAGGTGGACCCACATAGCTTATCTGGGTTCCCCTGAACGCGAGGAAGCTATCTTTCTTTTGCTTCCTCGCGCTACGTCTTGTATCTAGAGTCGACTATAGCTTTCTTAATATTGATTATTCATTCGGAAGACACACTCCTCATCCAACGATACGTGAGATCCTCACAACCCCTTTTGAAGATCCTAGGATCGGCAACGTTAAATTATGAAAGAAATTCATCCGCGAATTCGATTGATCCGGGAAATTGAGCCTTCACTTCATTACTTAGAATCGATCCGGGTTGAGGGCGACCTCTCATATTTAGGAACCCTTTCAGAGTAGATCTCCCCGTACCAATCAAACAGCGTGGCCCTTCAGCCCGATTAGATCACGTACCTCTCCGCTATTTGAAGACGGAATGTATGAAATGACGCTGACCGGGGAATGTAGGTGGTTTCACTGGTATGATTTGTAGATGTAGCAAGTCTACTGCCTGTGACCCTGCAGGTGATATCGATAACCATTGAGAGGCCATCTATAAATCCGGGGCAAGAACGCCCCCTCGCACTGTACTAGTTCCTCTGGCCTTACGATCCTCTTCCAAAACATTCGATGCTGCGCGAGATTTTTGTTGCTTTTCTTCGTGTTTGGGGTCGCAGAAGAAATCTTGATGAGCGGCCTGGCGAGATTTTTATCAACAGCCGTGCGCAGGCAGATTCACAGCTGGCCCACGCAAGCACCACTTCTATGCAAGAGCTCAATGGCGAAGACATGGCCGACCAGGTGTCGTACGAAAATCAAAGCGGGGGAGTTTCTGCAGATTCGGTGGCTCCTCACGAGTAAAATCACGTCACTGATCCTCTTGTGAGCCCCGCCTCGACCTTGCCCTCCCACACACAGCCGGGGAGGCAGGGCGTTAAGGTCCGCCGTCTGGAAATCGGCACAGACGTCGATGACATATACTGCATATTTTGTCTCGCCGAGAATGGGAATCCTACCGTTGAGAATGTAATTCTGCAGTGTCGACGCTGCCAAGCATTGTCACATTTGAGTTGCATGGAGGAGTGGTTGAAGCAATGCAGTCCTGAGATGCACGAGTCATGCTGCGCCTGGTAAGTGCAATGAACGCGTCTATCAAAAGGCTGGTTACTAAAGAGATGCAGCCGAAGTGAAGAGCCTCAAGACGCCCTGCTACGCGGGTGGCCATCGCAGATTCGAATGAGCACTGATGCAGCCAGAAGCTGGGGTGTCACCGCAGTTGCCCCATGCGATACTCCGTCTGCGGATTCCTCCCCCTCTGTATACAGATCCACCCCAGTGCAAATTTTGCAAGCGGGTGCAGTGCAACAAGAGAGACCTCAGATATTGCCCCGCAGATCGACTAGACTGACCGAAGAGAGACGCCCACGTCCACCACTCCGTCGATCACCGAGGTTTCGAAGGAATCAAACGGGTGGTTTTGAGAGGGAGAATTGATCTTGGATAAAAGAAACGACCGGAAATCGACCAGGGGCTTCGAGTTGAAGCGGAGGGCACAAGACCAAATCTGTTCTATCAGCGTCAAGGGCGTCGATCTTTTGTGGCCCTTCGGTCAGTCTCGCATATCTGCTTTCGTCCTAGATGTTTTAAGCTCAGAAAAGGGCGGTTGATTTCTTCAATAATCACTTCTTGTGACATAGCATGCACTGAAAACCGCCTGGCCGCATAAGGACATCTCGCAAGCACGCCAGAGTGGGACCGAATGTCAGGCAATGGGACCATCCGTAGACCCGCCTAGAAAAATCGTGCATCACACATAGCAGAACCACCCGCCATCAGCAGGAGAGCGACTTCCTTGCCTGGCCTCTACTCCGACCGAGATTTGCTGCAGTGAAACCACCGCCGAGCTCATTTTAGATCAAGGTAGCCAAGTAATATCTGATTGATAAAGGCACCCAGCAAGGTAAGACCTCCATTTGAGAAGCCTCTGATGTCAAAACCGTGACTTCAAGCTTTGTAGTCGCGTTGAATGCCCATCCTCCAGAAAGTCCCACGAGAGCCCACCCGGCAGCGCCCGTGCCAACAATTCCATTGCGCGGTAGTGTATTGGTATCTGGTAGAGCCCGACCTTTTCGTTCTAGACGAAAAAGCTGAGCGAGTAGGTAAGTTCGAATACCACACCGTTAAAGCCCCATCAGGGCGAGCTGCGCTTGGGAGCTACCCCAATTGAAGTCAGGCTAGTTGACCTTTAGCTTCAAGAACGCGGTGAAAGCCCAAAATTTGCTATGCTGCGACAATGTGCCCCCGTCATGTATGAAAGACCTCTCATGAAGTCACGTTTTCGATTGACCTTGCTGCTGATCCCACTGTTGAACGTCGCATCCCTGTCAACGCAGCGTTCTCAAGATTGGTTACAAGTCTGATTGCACAATTAGCTTGAATTGGGTAAAGACCCAAGTTGCCCTCCCTAGAGCCATATTCGGACCATTGGAGCTCCCCGCTGGCCTCCTTTCTATTTGTCTGACACGGTTTCCCGCTCACAAACGTTGAGATTGTCAAGAGCGTGAGCTGGTGTAGCCCCAGCGTGAAGAGAATATAAAGAAGAATTAACCGTTGGAAAAGCGCAGATGAGAACGATCCATACTTCGTGAAATTCCACGCTCGTGCATCGATGCTCACTTGTGAGATGCACTCATCGCGAAGAAGCCCAGCGGAGAAGTGTTTGGGAAATGACGTCACGCGAAGTTAGCTGTGGCAAGTCCAGTCAGCGGCGCGTCGGACCATTCAAGAACAGCGACCCAAATCTGGTCCCGTCAACGTAGGCCGCCTTGAACATTCATAAGGTGCTGGAAAGGTTGGCACTGTCTTTGTGTTTGGAGTTGCTTCATAAGTCGGCCCATCAGAAAGCCCACGCAGCCACATGGACACGATATCGTGATTTGATGCTGGTGCCGGAACGGAGCCGCATCATTGGAATTGGCTCCTCAGATCTCCATATATAGAGTCAAATTTTCAATCAACTTGATCCTCTCGCAGGATGTATTATCGAGTATCACCCCTTCAAACCGACGATCAATGATACCGCAGACGCATCATAAGTGGCCATGCCGACGGCGAGATGGCCACCACAGGCCTATAAGTAGTACTCTTCACTAGCTCTGCCTCTAGATAAATGTGAAACCCACCTTGAACAGGCTTAGCTCACAGCGTGCCAAGAGCACGTCTCTTCAGCACCATCACAGATGACCGAGGCGAAGGACGCTGATGTAAAGTGGCCTTGTCTAATGACAATGAAGATCAGCCATCGGAATGCATAATGCGGACCCAACAGTAGGTCTTGTCATAAACTGTTCATTTCGCGTAGGTGTTGACTTCGGTGAGGTGAGACAGGGAGCCACGCTAGCCGTCCACTGTTAACCTCCAGAGCCTGTACTGCAGCAGGCCTCGCGTCTAATGCCGCTTAAAACCAAGCTTTTGATAAGAGACGACGGCATTACCAATGGAATGAGCAGAGATCAGGTAACAAATCTTTCGATGAACGTGAGAGGTCTACTAGAACGATAGTCAGCCATATGAATGTAAATACAGGGGGGGGGGGGGCGGACGCGATCAAAAGCCACCTGTTGGGTAATGTGGGTAATGCGCTTCTTATAGTGTTTCGTAGTGCGATTGATCTCCTGGGTCTCCAGAGCAGGCATCGAAGGGTATTTTGAGATGACACACGCATGGAGTGGGTGTGGGAAGCACGAGGCAACCAGTCGCACTATTGGTTATATTAGTACCAAAAGAGGAAGAATAAGGATAGGTAGGCATGAGCGGGGAGACTCTTTATCAACCCCAAAAGTAGCTGATATATATGAGAACAGACGTGAGTGCAACCCTTGCCACCGAAGAGGTCGTTCAACATGGCTGCATAACTATACGTAGTCCTCGGAGCTCCGGAGTGACCGATAATCTATAGCATGAGATATGAAGATTAGCCTGCGTGACTGCGAACTCTATGCCCATTGAGTGTACGAAGGTCGCTCTTGTCAGCTGAACGCTCTTCCAATATACATGAAAAATACCAATGGAATAGAACTGACCATGAATTTGCTTCATCGAGGAGCAAGATCGCGAAGTTAACCTATACCCGCCGTGTTGGAGTCAATAGGGTCGATGGGGGCTGGCAGTTCCACCATTCAATTACTTGGACCACGACACAATCAGCAAGGCTTGAGCGAAGCCTGTTGAATGACTATTCGTTCTGGGAGAGCGGGATCAGGTGGAGTGTGGGTGGGCGACCTTGAAACCATCGACATAGCCTTTCAGTGGATCTGGGCTTTCCTTTGGTTTTAGCGTCACGCGCCATGTATTGCGTACACACTGGCTTACTGCCGGTGTATCGAAAGGCTCTATGAGGGGTCAATGATCTGTCATTCGAATTGTTTGAGAAGTGCCATCACTCACCCACGTTCTATACCTTGAAGGTCCGAGCTACCTAAGCGTGGATTAATATAGAGAAAGCAGCGCAAAGGACGGGTTGAAAAAAAAACGACATCCGCCGATATGAGATACGTACCTGATGGCATCACATCCTTATCGCTGATGTGGTTGACGAGCTGTTCCTTCTTTATAGTGTCTTCTGGTCTTGTAAACAAAGTTGCAAGGATAGAAACGCTTCAATATAAAGTGCGTCTCTTGTATTCGAGGTGGAATCGGCCTTGCCTTGGGTACATGATGGGTGGCCTGTCCGACAACTAGTCCCTTGCTATCGAGTCCATGATCGAGAGGGTAGGAAGCTCCATGAGCTATCCGGCATCTGGGATAGCCCATACCGGGACTTGGGAAAGAGGCCGTGAAAATATCTGCCATAGAAGGATAGTCAGCTTAATGGACACAGAATCAATCAAAGGTCAGCGAATACGGATCACACTCATCGTTCGCTGGTATTCATGATGTATCAATCCATTCACCTTTCTGTGAGAGATTCTTATGATACAAGTTCGTTTGATCAGCGATTGACCTCATGGGGTTGTTATTGGGCCTACCATATAAAAAGGCTCCTCCGTAATCTATCGGGGGTAAGAGCCTGTCATGGTTGTCATAGAATGTGTTCAGATCTGAACTGTACACAGACCGTTCGAGAAGCTCTATTGTGAGATCGTTAGATAGGACATAGTGCCTTTTTCATGGGTCGGATGAAATCAAGACCTCACTTTGGTAGAGATTTTGCGTGCTGCGGTGGATGTATTGGAAGCCTAGCGGAACCCGAGTGACATACGGTGTTAGTATAAGTTCTAACTCAGGGAGGGTGGTACTCACGTATTCAAGTCCTCGTATATCAGTCCTAGAGAAAGAGTGTTATCAGTGAGAGATAGCTAAGCTTGAGCTGATGGCTGGGTACACTTACAAGTAGTTGACGAAAGAAAGATCAAAGTCAATCTTCGCAAATGATATGTGCGAGGAGAGATGCAAGAGGAAAGTCAGACAAGACAGATGGGAGCATATTTATACCCTTCAGGGCGGAGTTCCTCGTCTTTCGCTTGGATCAAAAGTGGCAGATTGCGTGCCTTGCTGATTTGTCTAGGCAAGAGGAGAAACGGTATACCAGCAAGCAATTTTCTGCGCTCAAGCAACATGGCCACTCACCAGTGGTGAGCAAACAGGAGCAGCAAAGACCGAATGACAAATAGTCGGCATGGAGTCAAGGTTCAGGTAGATTATGAGGCTAGAGGAGGCCCTCCAGCAAAGTAAAATTGCGGCTAACTGAGAAACCGGAGTTTATTCACCAGCGGATTCAGTTAAATCAACAGCGATGAGCAAGCAGGAGTAGCAATAATAGGTAGAATGACAAATAGTTGGCAAGGAGCCAAGGTCCAGATAGACTACGAGGCCAGACGAGGCCCTCCAGCAGAATAAAAGTGCGGTTAATTGAGAAACCGGAGTTTATTCACCAGCGGATTCAGTTGAATCAACAGCGATGAGCAAAAATGAGGCCTCCCAAGGATACGCGGGATGACAAATAGTTTTATGAGGAACCGTTGAGGTAGAGTTTGAGTTCTGGTAAGGCGAATTAGGGATATAGGAAATGAGGTCATGAACTTTCTTCACTCGCGAAACAGTTGACTCAATGGGTATGAGAAACAGGAGCTTGATCAGCAATATTTGGAATGACAGATAATTGTTGAAAAGTGAAAGTTGAGGCGAGCACTAGAAAGTCCTCCCTTTGATTAGTAACTTGACTACTTTCCTGGTTTTTCTCACTAGCGGAAAAATAAATCCCTACAAACAACAAAATGGATTTGCTCGCTCCGCTTCTACCACCTTTGTGTGGACGGACAACGAGATGTGAACACGACACATAATACACGCCCTGGAGGGAGCGTGAAAGTTGCTGTTCCTCCCTCAGCAGAATGTGAACCTTTGGTATCCCAAATTGGCAAGACCATAACAATGCATGGTCATTCAAGTGAGCCAACACCGGGTACCTTGGATCCACACCGGTGCGGCCCGTGGGTCGAGGTGGGGCCACCATATCCACTCTGGTGCCTCAACGTTGAGTGAACGACAGTGAATGATCAGCGAGAAAGCCAGAAGCCCTCAGAGAATGATGTAAATGAGAAATGGCTTAATTTTGTGCGACCCCCAAAAACTCTCTATGGCGTCCTTGGAATCGCTTTCCATTACATTTCGGCCGTTCCAGCAAAAAGCACCGCTCCTCAAGTAGCGGGTGCCGGGCATACACTACTCTACGAAAGACACCCAAGTGCCTCCCACCAAAAGCTGAGAGTTGGAGACAGTTATTCACTAAGTTGATATGCCATGGGCTTTTTTATAGTAATGCCATAATCAGAGTATATTGACAATCACCAAGAACTCAGAGCTCTCCGGCTTCTCTGCTGCCAATCTTGGTCACATAATATCAGCCCTTAATTAGAAGATCTGGAGAGGTAGGGCTCTTCACAAGTCCAGTAATGGATGTATAGAGGAATACCCTTGAATAGCAATCATGTGGGCATGCCTTCTCTCAATGTGCAGCAAAGACAAAACCTGTCAAGCCGTATACCTCAGAACTTCACAATAAGCCGCCAGACTTGGGCATAGTCAATCGGAGGTGACATGGAAGCCGCACGCAATTCCGACGGGCCTCTTCAAAGTAGACCAATGGTCCGCCCACAGGCATCCACAATTGCACTTTCGCACGCGCAGCATAATGCTGAGGACCTTCATTCTGACTCACTTCTCTGAGGTCACCGTACCACTACTGTGAACCATGGGCGAGCCAGCTCTTTGCCCTCCGATTGCAACTGTGCCATTTCTGTGATTCGACCAGCACTTTCTGTGAGTCAGGAATACTAAACGCCCAGATAGAGTGAACGGTCCCGGTGCTGTCTGCCGCGACATGATTGGTGATCCATTCCACAGCATCGTCTAGCGCATGGTTCAGGACCGGTGAAGACATTGCATCAACCGCCAGAACCGTCCTCGGTGAGAAACCTGCACTGCTGGTATCTGCGAGAAAGCGTAGCTGAAGTCTATAAAAGCAGACTCCTCCCCCGATCCATTTCTCTTTCTTCACACATCGCGGCCGCGGTGTGTCGCCTCTGACCTTCGGGCCTGAGGTTTCCGTGACGACGGCTGTTGCTGATTCAAGCCCAGTGACATAAGAACAGTGCTTCGCAGGGGGGCGCTGCGTTACCAAGTGAACTCCGCAGGGGGACGCTGTGATGACAATTGAGACCCGCAGGAGACCGCTGCGTCAAATAAGTTCTCCGCAAGGAGAAATGCGTTACCAAGAGTCTCCGCAGGGACATCTGCGAAACCAAGAGTCTCCGCAGGGACATCTGCGAAACCAAGAGTCTCCGCAGGGACATCTGCGACACCAAGAGTCTCCGCAGGGACATCTGCGAAACCAAGAGTCTCCGCAGGGACATCTGCGATAACAAGAGTCTCCGCAGGGACATCTGCGACACCAAGAGTCTCCGCAGGGACATCTGCGAAACCAAGAGTCTCCGCAGGGACATCTGCGAAACCAAGAGTCTCCGCAGGGACATCTGCGACACCAAGAGTCTCCGCAGGGACATCTGCGAAACCAAGAGTCTCCGCAGGGACATCTGCGAAACCAAGAGTCTCCGCAGGGACATCTGCGACACCAAGAGTCTCCGCAGGGACATCTGCGAAACCAAGAGTCTCCGCAGGGACATCTGCGACACCAAGAGTCTCCGCAGGGACATCTGCGATAACAAGAGTCTCTAGCCTCTGCAGGCACCTCTTCGTGGTGCTAGTGATCAGTACTCGTCATCGATGACGGGGAAGCCAAGGCCTGCACATATCCTCTAGAAACAGTGAATAGTTTTAGTTTTACCGTATGCAGCTCCATTACAAATCAGCTGTTGTTTACTAGAATCAGTAAGAGGCATAGTAGCTAGTACGGTGTTTCCTTGCGCCAATGGTGTTGAATAGAGTGGCATAACGTAGCACCCAAAGATATGGCATTGTTGCATGGGTGGTGAATAACGGGCCAAGGTTTATAGTGATTACTGGCGAAATTTTCAAGGTTCCCAAGGGGTTAACGGTGATTCAACGTCGTTGGGCTGGACGGATGTTTTAATGCGGACGAGTGAAATCTTTGATCTGGTGTTGAATGATAGTGTTATAGATGATTCAATGTGGTCGGGTTTAAGTGAGGAAGTTGATGCAAATAGGGGCTGGCTGCGAGTGCTTGATGAGATCCATTTCCTGTGGGTTGATACTGTATTCGCATTGACGGTCATGAAACGCGGTGGGTGCGAGGGTTTTGTTGAAATCTCTCGGGGAGTGTCCGCGATGGCTGATAATGTTGGCTCATATTGATGACCGGCCGTAGCGAACACTCATGGTCAATCAAAACGGCGATCATATCTTATCGGTGGCTGAGCGCGGCGGAAGCGAAGATTCATGGTGAATGACGAGGGAGTGTTGACGACCACCGGTGACGGTGACTCTCAAGGGACCAGTTTTGTTGACTGACCGAGCTTAGTTTCCAAGGCGGTGAGGGGCAATGATGCGCATTGGCCAATCACAGTAACCTTCCCGGGTTTAACTCAAGCGAAACCCTCATTTTTTGAAGTTATTAAAACTGCTAGGGTGCTTTCTGCCTTAAGATTATTTAATCTAGTTTGGACATATTCACTAGATCCCCTCAATTTTCCGTGTTGCTTTCACGTGAGCCCTCTACCCACGCCTTCAGTCATATTCCCCTTTTAGGAGTTTCGAACGCAAACCTGCACCTGTGATTATGACCTGATGACTCTATATTGTTGTCTGCCGAAGAGATTGAGTGGTATCTTAGCGCTAGCTCTGACATCATCATCACACCTAAGGCTCATGCATGGAGCCAAATGATGAGACACATCTTCCAAAAAGCGGCAATATTTTCCACACCGGAGCAAGAATAAAGATAGACAAAAAGTCAATTCGCTGAACCCGCGATGCCTTGGTCAAACCACCCGAGCGCATAATGACGACACCTCGATTCCTCAGAATATCATGCAAAAACAAGGGAAAGACTACGCATATGGGGCAAAGCTCCGAAGGAGCCTTTGCACCCTCATTATCACATCCAAGTATCCGTCGGTCCAATCTTGAGGATTGATGCTGGATACGGTGAGTATGAGCCCAAAAACCCATGCAAAGCGAGATGCCTCTCAGCAAGTGAGCGGGCAGTGGCTTTCTCCTTTTCATTCCATATTCCTGCGGAGGCAAAAAGGAAGGGGTTGGGTTGCTCCAAGCTCAGATTTAGCTGCAAGAGACTACATCCTAATGCCTAAGCTGATTTATGGCCAATTCTTTGTCCCCTTGTAGGACACCTACTTATCGATCCCGTATTATGCTACTTCATACTTGATTCGGCACGAGAGCCATATATTGTGAGGCGTTCCATGGGCCGTACTAGAGGCTGGATCATAGGAAATTATAGCATTGATTGATGGTAAGTAGACACATGTATCCATGTCGAGTACATGTAGGCTCTTACAAACATATTTGTGACCGTGATCGACTTATCTACCTTCCTTGTTGCCAGCATTCACTCTGCAAGATCGCATCAACTCTAATTCTCCTTTGAGGCTCTTGACTTCTATCGCGAGGGCCTCAAAATGATCCTTAGTCTGCACAATCTGAGAGGAATACCCTCCGCTGCGACGAATTTGTCGTTCGTCTGGCTTGACTTTTCCACGAAGTGACCTATTGTTCGTGCATTAGTCCTGCTGCTGACAGGCCGGTGTGTATGAGACGAGCCTTCATGATTGTACTGGTACATACCTCTTTCGCCTGCTCGGCCTGTGTCATAAATTAGCAAGAGGCCTGGGGTTTGGGGCGGCAGCGATAATGGAAACTGACCAGCTGGCTGTTTTCTTTTCCGGCCCGCACCCAGATTCCTTCAACGAGTCTTGTGAAGCTGGCTCAAAACGCACTCTTCCGAGAGGTCTATCCTCCGATTTATCTCGGTGTGATGAGGCACGCTCACGGTTCTTGAGTATCGAGCCGTGTATCTTCTGAGGCGACACTGCGCGTCGCATAGAGATCCTGTCTCGTTCGGGGGCCTGAATCAAATCCTTAAATTCCGCAAGCAGGGCTTGCTTGCGGCTCTCAGTAGGCGGCCTGTCCGGTGGAGTCATCGCGAAGAGGCTGTTGGGTTCAAAAAGCGAAAGAAACAAGAGTGATTACTGTACATTGAAAAATTTTGCAAGAAGGAGAGAATTGAAGACGAGCGGTCCAAATTTGCTGGTGGAATTTAGGCGAGATGCACAGAAGGGGACTAAAATTAGATCTCACTAGCCTTTCCATGGAAAGACAGACTGGTGGAGGCTGGCTTTGACGGTGATTCAACGCGTTGAGAACTAAGCTTCCGTTGATACCACTCGGTGAGTGACTGATCCTGGTGACCGACCATAGTAAATGCTGATTTTCGACAAAACATGGGCTATCTAATTGCCTCAAGTAATTGGCCCTCGTCAGGACTATGGCGATACACAACTGCCCTTGTACAACATTCTGCTTCATGAAGGCTTGAATGCCGTCGGCGTTGATACACGATTTTTGCTCATAAACGACTATGTTCATACACGCCACTTGTCACACACGACTTCACCCAAAAAATATTTTGTTCATAAACGGTTCTGCTCTTACGGCTTTGTCATTGAGACTGCTGAATTTGTTCCCTTAATTCCAGATGGCAAAAATTGATCTTCCTCCATTAGATCATTTTTCACATACCAGCTCTTTCTCCGGTGAGCTTGGACTGCGACGTTCCCAATCTACCCATTTCTCGTCTTTCCCCGTACGGACTTGTTTTCTGTCCAAGACGCTATTCCTTACAAAACAAACAAAACAATTCATTAACGCCCGGCGGCTGAGCCGAAAGGGCAACTATCACTGATCTACTGTACATGTCCATCTGTGTGTGCTGGGTCTCTTGCAAGCCCATACATGAAACTTTATAAAATATGACATTTCCAGAAAGCAGTGTCGCAGTGAGTTTCTCGTGGGTTAGTAAGTGGGTTAGTAGGCTGGCTTGAAGGCGCTTCTCCAAGTGTTCAACATCCTTTCTTCGGCAGTTGAAGCGCGTCTACCGTTTGTAGCACGAGGTGGTGGGTGAGTAGGGTCGGAAGAAGGGGGTGGGAGTTTTGTTGGTCGATATTTTCAAGTGGCCTCAAGTCGGCCCGTCGCTATGGCGAAACGTATGGAGGCCCGTACTGCCTCTAGGTTGGTGTCCACTTCTGATCATCAGAAGTCTGTTTTCCGCCCAGGAAGAAGGATATATTTCCTCGGTGAGTCTGCGTGCATTGTAACATTTCCGTCCGGTGCGCCGTCCACTTTCGACATCGGAAGAGGAAGTGCTCCACGGTTCCCCTTGCTTGTCCGCGATCGCATAGATCCGTCTCTGCAATATTAATTTGATTGAGATATCCGTTCAGTCTAGCCATGCCGGTTCGGAGTTGAGCTAGTACGCTCGCTTCTTTCCACGTTAGGCGATCATACAACTGCCGGGTGTGTTTGCCTGGCAGTGCGGCATCTACTCGTTTTGCGTGTCTTCCTATGTTCTCTGGTAGCTCGCTGCTGGGGACTGCTTGGGACCGTGCGATATTCAGTGTTGTCGACTTCATCCTCGAGACGTGTTCTTGTAGGAGGGCATCTTCTTGTGTTGCAGTTCTGGCCTGTTCTTTAGCCAGACCTAACAGCTTGTTGTCTTCGGTAGTAGGGATCCAGTGGAATTTGATGCGGTTTCCATTCCTTCGCAACCTTCTCATCAGCTTGTACATCTGACAAACAAACTCTTGGCCAGACTGTCGTCGAGGGTTCCTTAGCGTGAGCGCTGCCGCCTTGTTGCTTGTGAACAACGTAATCTTGTAGTCCTTGATTCCCACTACCAGTTTCAGCACATGTGCCATAGCTGCCAGCTCCGCAGAGAACGGGTTTTGCTCTGCTCTCACGCCCAATGTGATGGAAAACGTTTTGAGCTTCACTTTTCGATTTCGAGGTGGCTGTTTCTCGATTGCGACTCCAAATCCCACCAGCTCGTTCCGTGCCGAGCTGCTGACCGCGATCTGCATCGATCCGCCCGCTTCAGTCTGAGGTTCATATTGTCCGTCAATATTGGCCTGCACGCGTTCGTCCCATGGGGCCAACGTGAACGGGTTAATTGTTTCCAGTGCCTCCATGTCGATATGCCTAAGCGCATCTGCTACTTGGTACAGCGGCGAGCGATGATATCGTCTGAACTTTCTGATCCGGTCTGTACCTCTGCGGAGCGGGTTTATTTCAGGAAGTGTATGCATGTCTGTCCACATCTTCACGGCCCGTCTCCAGAATCGGCTCGGCGCGGTGGCAATATGGGCCTCCGCCTCCGCTACGCTGGTCGCGACGGTGAGGAATGTCCCCACAATGGCTTGTGCTCCATCTCTTTGGACTCGATTGGTCGGCCCCATGGCCTTGTCCTTACACGCGTGCATCCAGACATTGGAGGCGTAGTCCACAACCGGCGCCACCGTTGATGTAAATAACTGCCGCGCAGTTGCTGGGGAGAGGCCCCGAAGTCGCCGAAGCTCCATCGCTGCCTTCAGGCCCTTGGACGCGGCCCTTGCAATATGTTCCTTGTATTTCAGTCTCGTGTCCATCAACAAACCCAGGATCTTGACGTGGTCTTTGGGTACAACCGTCTGTCCCTTGATGGTAAACGGCCCATGGTCCGATTTACGTGTCTTGGGAGCAAAGTGTATGATAGCTGTCTTCTCAGCTTCGAAGGTCGCACCGCTTCTCCTTTCCCAGTCGAGCGCTTCATTGATGATTGCTTCAATTCTTTCCCGGTTACCCACGCGGTAAAATCATCCACAGCAGCGACTGCTCCCCCCTGGCTGTCGATCTGTCTGATTGCGTAGATGGGCACAGAGGCCGGTGTGAAGTTGGTCTACAGTACTTGCCGCCCTATTCATCGGATTTCAATCCCTTAAAGGTTGTAGTTTCTGAGCTGAAAAGTTAATCAAGCATATTGAGCCTATTACAAAAAAAAATACCGATCAAAAATCTGATATTTCTCTCGAGTGGTGTGTCAATATGGTCGGCGCAAAGGAAGAGACTAACCAGGCCATTTTTTCATATAGGATTGAAGATAGAGGTTTTGGTCGGTCAAGGCTTGAATAAAACATGACTTTTGTAAGATATCATAGTTATTTTGTAATGGATGGCGTGCCGTTTCGCTTAGGTCGAGCTAGAAGGTATGGCTTACAGTACCATTTAACGATCATTGGCCAATATGTGTCTAGACTTGTCAAATTTAGGCACAGCGCGGGTATCTATTTGCAGCCGGAGATGGTCTGGGAAAATTCGAAGAATATGATGATGTAAGAAGAAAAGACCACTTTCCAGTCTCAAAGCAAGACTGGCAGGCGCCACAAAATGTATAATAGAAGCCTGATCCACAAACCCGATTGCACAAGGCGCAAACGAAATGGGTGTGTCCTGCTACACCGATTTTCTGGCCCTGCTGATATGGTTTTTCTTTGACCCCGCAGTCAACATGGAATCGGCGATTGCTCTCATTTTCCACGTTTTTTCCCGTGGCTGTTTATCGGCGAAGCTTCCTCGAGAAAGCAGCTATAAAGTAAAACTGCAAGAAAGGTACTCGTTGTATTTGAATCGTAAGTTACTAGCCATTCTACTGTACTCACAGTGAAAGCAGTGCTACTGGAAGTTGCTCACTTAGTCTAAATCTCTGTTTCACAAAAATATGTTACTTTAACGCTTCTCCTGGGGTCTCAGGTGCCGCGTCATTCGCTCCGAAGGGTGAGCAGGTTTGTGGCAGGGCCAGGCGGGAACTATAGTCAAGAAGGTGGATGATCTTTTCAGTTCAGCTCAGCCGGGAGATCGACCAGCTTTACTCTTGAGAAAGAAGCCCTAATCCTGCCGATGATAAATGCACTCTCAATTCGGTCCGTCAAGGTTAGTCTCTTTCTTTGGGATGACAAACAATCCCATATAAAAATATCGTCCAGAATTCTCGATTCAAAATTCATTATTCGGTAGAACTATTAGAAGACTGATATGTAAAAATGCAGTTGTTGGATGCTTATCCCTATTTTCAATTTTTGGCTGTTCAACCTCTCGATTTTTAGGCCTGCGAGATACCGTTCTTCTTTTGCAAAAAGTCCCATGTAGCAAGTGCATGGGCTTTTGTCACATGAAGGAACTCGTCCACCGACGCTGACTCATTAGTCGTAGCCACTGAAACGATTTGAAATCAATTTCGCCATCCACAAAAATGAGTAATAGGGCAAGTCAACGGTACTTACTGCTGAAAGGGCTGCAGCCATACACATATGCCGGCACGCCAGCGTAGCGGTAATGCTTGCAATCTGTAGCACCCATAGAGGGAATGATAGCAGGGCGAGAGCCTCCAACCAACTCTACATTCCGCATAAGATGTTCAAGCATGGGATGGTCAATGGAAGAAAGACTGCTAGGATTACTAGCCGCCTCCTGCTTCTTAAGCTCGATGGTGGCTTCCGGGTAATTCGGGATCACAGAGTCGATAACAGTCATTACTTGATCCGCTACCAGACCAATCGGCAACCGAATGTCGAGTTCGAACTTGCAATTTTCCGGAATCATATTGACCTTGAGGCCACCTTTAATGGTGCCAATATTGACCGTTGGCCTGGCAACAACAGTTGAGGTGCCTGGTCCCATAGCCCGATCCACGGCGGCCAAGGTCTCAGGATTCTTCATATGCCTCCCAATTTCAGAAGGGGGCGTTGGTTCAATCGATTCCACCGCTTCAACCACCTCTGCGAGGAAACTAGTTGCAGTCCGAATTGCACCTTTGCTTTAAAGTTTGTCAGCCTTAGAGGTATATAATTGAAGTTGTCTATACAGTTGAACTGTCTTACCTAAGGTTCAAATAAGCTCCCAAAGCCCCCTTCGTAGTAACAGACCCTGATAACCTCAATGTCCCTTTTTCTGAAAATCGGATCGTATGGCCGGATGGCTCGGCGCTGAGCATGACATCACCGCCCCATTGGTCCCTGCTCTGTTTAATAAGGAAATTTGTACCCCATCGGCCGCCTGTCTCCTCGTCGGCTACTGCACAAAGAGCAACACTCCCACAAATAGATTCCCTCCGGGCATAGAGGGCTGCATAGGCAATCACCAAGGAGGCTGTTCCTGACTTCATATCGACAACGCCTCTCCCGTGGATACGACCGTCTTTTATATCGCCAGACCATAGATCACCAGTCCACCCATTGGTATTTTCCGGTACAGGAAACACGTCGATATGGCCGTTCAGAACCACCCGTGGACCAGAACCTGCCCCTCCTTCGAATTCGCTCACAACGTTATGAAGGCCTGGTTGAGCTTCAACAATGTCGCTAGGAATTCCACGGTTGGATAAATACTGCCTTAGGACTTTGGCAGCCTCCATTGTACTTCCAGGTGGATTAGGAGAAGCTGCTTGGACGAACAACTGCAATAGTCGGATTTGACTCTCCTCGTCAAACTCTAGGGCTTGCAGGAGCAATGATTTGGCAGACATTGTACCTGAGTATATTCGAATTTGGGACCTAGTGGCGAGTCTGCTGCTGATAAAATGTTGAAAGAACGAAGGCTGGCATCAACGATTGAAATTTGCTCAAACTTGCGAGTTTGCAGGCTGGAATAGGTATTTATGACGCACTCGGCAAAGAATTCCATTGGACACAGCGCTGATACCCACAGGCAACTTAGACAGAAAGCGGGCACCTATTTGGGTAAGGTTTGGATTAAGTAATCACTGGTGGAGGGTAGACAAAGACCGCACAAGGGTAGAGTCGATGCCTTGAAACGAATGAAGTCAGAGAAAGGGTTCTCAAAGTACGGGCCAAGGACTAAGATGTGAGTCATTACTGTCAATACCAACTATCCTATTGCACGCCATCCTTCTCATAGCATCATTTAACGCATACATTCTATCAGTCCCATCAGTATCAACAGCATTCATTCTGAAAAGACAAAATGGTATTCGGCAAGAAAGCGCTTCTCCTGGGCGCAGGTTTCGTCTGCTCACCGGCCGTGCAAGCCCTATGTGGAAAAGGCGTTCATATCACCGTGGCCTGCCGCACTCTGTCGGCTGCTCAGGCTCTAGCTGTTCATCACAAGAACACCACCGCCATTGAACTCGATGCCTCAGACTGTGCTGCTCTTAACACCGCAATATCGACGGTCGATATTGTCATCTCCCTCATTCCGTATACACTCCACGCCCTCGTGGTCAAGGCAGCTATCAACCAGCAGAAGCCCGTTGTCACGACCAGTTATATCTCCTCTGAGCTGTGGGATCTCGACGCCGAAGCCAAATCCGCGGGTGTGACAATACTCAACGAGATCGGCTTGGACCCCGGCATCGACCATCTCTATGCTGTAAAGACAATTGACGAAGTGCATTGTGCAGGCGGTCTTATCGAGGCCTTCACCAGCTACTGCGGTGCGCTGCCGGCGCCAGAAAACTCAGACAATCCGCTGGGCTACAAGTTCTCGTGGAGTCCCCGAGGTGGCCTGCTCGCGCTGCTCAACCCGGGGCAATGGTACGAGGGCGACGCAGTCACCAAGGTGAATGGCAGCGATCTGATGGCTAGCGCGAAGCCGCATCATATATTCCCGGGGTTTAATCTGGTAGGCTATGCAAACCGCAATGCCGTCAGCTTCCGCGACTTCTACAATATTCCCGAGGCCAAGACTGTATTTCGCGGGACCCTACGATATGCCGGTTTCCCGGAGATCATTCGCGTGCTGGTCGATATTGGGTATTTTAGGCAGGATGAGCTGCCCGCGATAGGAGCTAATGGCTCGGACACACTTACCTGGGCGCAACTTACAGCATATTTACTTGGCTTATCTCAATCCGCAACCGAGATTGAAATACAGTCTGCAATCACTCGGAAAGCGTCATTCTTATTTCCTGCTGAAGTTCCGCGCGTGCTTTCGGGGCTCCACTGGATGGGCCTCTTCAGCACAACGACCCGCATTGACCCTCGCGGCACACCTCTGGATACATTTTGTACTCTCCTAGAGGAGAAGATGGCGTATAATGATGGAGAGTCTGATATGGTTATCCTACAGCATATTTTTGACGTTATCAATGCAGACGGGAGTAAAGAGACTCGTTCAAGCACCCTAGTCGAGTACGGCGAGCCTATTGGGCCGGGCTCGAGGAGTGCCATGGCGAAGCTTGTGGGTCTTCCTTGCTCGGCGGGAGTTTTGGCGGTGCTAGAGGGAAGAGTCAAGGAGAAGGGAATGGTTGCTCCTTGGACTAGCCCTCAGATTGCGAGCATGTTGAGGGATGATTTGAAGGGACGGTATGGGATTGAATTAAAAGAGAAAATCCTACGCTAGGCTTTGATATTGATCACTGATATTGCAATACTTACGTCCTTGATACAGGATGGATCGAAATCGGTTTCACCATCTAGGAAAGCTAAACGTATTACTCGAGCCACCGGAAAGTCACCCACCTTACGAGCGAGCCACGGTCAACACGACCGAAGAGCAGCTCTGCATGGTGCTCGGACTTTGTAGCTTCATCGACGTAAACTTTCCGTTACGGCCAAACGTCTAGATACAAATGGCCGTCTAGCTGTCTGCGAAGTCTCAGACTTGCCGCCTAGATTTGGAGCTGAATGTGACTGACGGAGGCCCTCAACTTGCTCAACCTGAGTTAAGCGCCTCAATTTTTTGGTCGAAGCGTTGGTTGTATCATGTTGTTGAGTCGCATCGCACCATCTTATAGATGCTATGCCATATGGGTTTCTCGCAAAAAGCATTTTCCTCCGCATTCAGCCTCGCATCACAATCATCGAGCATCCTGCTCGTAACGGAAGATTTCCCTTTTTTTCTCCTTTCCGGCCTGCAGCTGAAGGAGGGCGGCGGTCATCTACATAATTAAAATTTATTTTCAGTGTGAGCTCTTTGCCTCGTATCAGCATCTCAGACCTGATCAGAAGCTGTTTCTCGATAGCTGTCCAGGTTATGTCGGCATCATCAAATCGTTTGATCAATTTACGTTTAGTGCGATCAGTTGTCAATGCAGTTATACCCGTGTCGTCAGCTGTTACCCGACGGTGGCGTGGAGTCTTTCGTCAAAGTATTTTCTCAAGATTTTTCTCTAATGACCAGCGCCAAAAGGCACTGGAGTCAGGACGACATCTAACTCCGTGTCTTGAGATACCTCCCGATTGTTGACTGTCACGCGCCACTCTATGCGGTAGTGGATACAGCTTGGCGGCTCCTCGTCATAAAACCTACCCTCTTCCCTACCGGACAACTGGAGGAATTTGGGATGTAATGCCGTAGAATTGCTTCTAGGCTCAAAGCTGTTTTCAAGCAAACCATTGGGAGGCCTGGCGGTAGATTGTGTAGGATAAGGACTGCCAAAGTACCCCGGGGTTGGTGCGTAGTCTGAGTTCAGTTCCGAAGTTCCAGACTCCATAGTTTGAGATGAGCAGTCGATTGTTTCGACCCGTGACTTTCGAATTAAGCAATCGCAATCCTTGGAACAGCATGTCAGCTTATTGGGAGAACCATTCTTGGATCGCGCTGGGGACGAATGAAAGCCGCAATTGGTAGTGGACTTTGGAAACAGAGAAGTTACATTGCCTACGCGGGTTAGCTTCACAGAGTAAGTTGTAAGCGTAAGCACAGCTTCCGTATTATTACTAGTGAGCAAAGTGGAAATTTGCGACATGCGGTGAAAGAGAGATCTGACAGGTGGCAATGGAGACAACAGGCCAGCGATCATGCCAGATCCCCCGAACTGCAAGTCGATTCCACAAGATTCCATAAGGCGTTACGGTATTATGTCGAAATCTGCAGGAGAAAGATTACCACCTTTCCTATCTTGGATTGATGATTCAGCGCGTGCTTTGATCCTATAATACTGTCTTTGTATGTAACACGCACGTAAGCGTACGTACGGGCTATACAACTAGCCTCCGCGAACTGGCAGGATCGCTCAACTCGATCCAGCACCTAGATAAAAAGAACCCTCTCATTATGGAAATCAATCGTACTAGTTCATACGCATTCGCCCCTATTCGACAGTATGTCCTTTCATCTGTCTTAACATCATGTCAGGTTGTAATAAATCATTAAACCCAGGACTATACTGCTTTGAATGGTTATTCATGAATACCTGCGATTACGAACGACATGAACTGAATTTTTTTGAATACCGCGGTGGTCAACGCTCATGGCGGGACCAGCGAGGAATGTGTAAAAAAGATGGGTTAGTCTCCACCCTGATTATCAGCCTGACAAGAAACCCACCATGACCGCTCATCTCAACAAAGATGAATGCGAATGGGATTCAAGAGTTTAATCACATTCTTTTCTGAACTTTTGGAACTTTCGATAGTCTACTTTTAGGATATCGGCAAACCAAAATAAAATGTAAAACTCGGGCTCTTAGCAAGACGTACGTCATAGTAAGGCTTAATCTAGGTAGCTTTGCACACGACTGCAAGTGCCTAGAAACCTGTTTTTGAATGCTGAGGTAATGCCCACCTGTAGCTGTAAGGCAAGAGTCTGAGGCTACGCGAAAATTTTATTCCTCTAACACGTATCCCACTATCCACATACACCAATCAATTACAATGACACTAGTACGGCTTCAAGCACGAGTGCAGGCCCCAGCCTCTATCCTCCCCTTACAGCGAGAAGCTTTTAACCTTCTCAGCCGCCGAGCACACCCCAAAGATTCCAAGCCCGAGCGCGAGGATCGCTCTGCGCAGCGGGGTTCCGGCGGCACGGAAGGCTCACCCAAACACCCGATTCCCTCCAACCAGGCACACCCAACTCTTCAAGATGGCAAAGACTCACCCATCGCCGACTTTAAGGGCAATCTGCGGAAGGATCTTCCAAAAGATGTGCAGGACCATAACAAGGAAGTTGAACGCCGAAAGGATCGGCCACAAAATCAATCTCATAACAGATGAATTCTCCTTTTATTAGATTGACTGAAATTCATGGAATCAAAATTATGCACACTATACCTCTTTTTTGGGAGTAAGTGGTGGGCTTTTTTCACTTCTCTTTTTCTTCTTTTTTTCTTTTTTTTGGTTTTAATAAAGGGAGAATCGAAAAGACCTAGACTCTGGGGAGCTTAGTCTTCTAATTTTCTTTCGCAAGCTGAATCCAAACGGAATTTGAAGTTTCGTGGTCTAGCCTTCATGCCCTGAATCGAACGAATTGGGAGGAAGTGTTTTCTGTCGCGCGCTGGAGAGACTGACGTCGGTCATGAACGCATCCTAATCGTCTTTAAGGCCATAATGTTACTGATCAAGTTGCTCTTACCTGTGTCTTCATTACCTATGACTTCCTCAGTCGTTCCAAGGAGTCACTTGGACTATAATAGGGGTGGACTCGAATAGGGGGTGTTCTTATTCGTATTCGGAGAAAATCTTTATATCGCCTCATTTGAAAATATTTAGGGGGTTACCATTCGTATTTGATATCCGAATATTCGGAACATTGTAATATATATGCAATTCTTGGCTTAATTTCGATTGTCTGCAATGATTGGCTGACGCCGCAAGTTCATACCGCGCGACTTAGCGTGGTTTTGTCGCGTACTCTTTATTTACCTCAATATCCTCTTGCATCTTTCTAAAGCGACGATATGAGATATTCAAGCTTCTATACCTTATCAAAATAGCTGACAGCTGTATTTATTCATCACCTACAATATATGATGCATCTCCTGACGTTCCGAGACGAGCCCAGCGATTTCATAGGATATGCTACCATCTCTTGGATGATGGAAGCGACGATGAAGTGCCTACAGAAGACCGCATCCTCAAAAGACCTCGTTTAAACCAGCCAAAAGTAAGCCCAGAGCCTATTACTCCAGATGACTAGGTTAACCAGATATCAAGACCAAAGCTCTCTGGTGGGATTGCCTGCGGCACAACTCATTCCAAGCCCAGAAGACCCTCGCATGGAAGATATCAGGATCTCAAATGCCACACGATACGTTCGCGACAAGAGTCTTCGCCATGCTGGCTGTACAACTGTAAGTACGCCCTCGAGAGCGCACAATGCTCGAATACAAAGCGCTTGACTCTCTTCGCCTGTCCAACAGTTTGTTGCTTCAGTTTCAAGGAAAAAATGTTTGGTATGTGACGCGCTCAACAATTGGTTGAGAACCAGCTAATGTGATTTCAGTGGAATGCGCAGTGAGTGCTCTTGGGGATGTGAACTGGTTACCTGAATCATTTGACTGCCTGCAAATTCCGCCAGAGAACAAGACACTTCTCTTATCAATGGCGAAAACCCGCTTGGGTTTGATACCGACAGTACCCTTTGACGACTTAATTGACGGAAAAGGTCAAGGACTCAACATTCTTTTGGAGTATGTCCGCGAATTGTTTATATATCGAGGCTTCTTGCCTAACCCGTGCTAGTGGCCCACCGGGCGTTGGAAAGACATTCACTGTTGAAGCAACATCGGAATATTTCAAGCTACCTCTTTATTCGGTACGAGCCAGTTGTGGCGCTAATGATGGCTTCGCTAACTTTGTCAGATATCTGCAGGCGAGCTCGTCGTCGACCACGGAGATTCTAATGCGTTTGAACAACAACTTGAGACTATATTCAAGATCGCTCATCACTTCAAAGCCGTGTTCCTCTCGGACGAGGCAGATGCATTTATTGAGCAGCGTACATCTTATCACGGTGCTCACAATCGACTGGTGACTGTTTTCCTCCGAAAGCTGGAATATTATCAAGGCATTTTGTCCTTGACTTCAAATCGGGGTATTCAATTTGATGATGCAATCCTCAGTCGGATCCATCTAATCATCAAGTATCAAGGCTTGAGTAGGGAATGTCGTAGGGATGTCTGGTCAACTTTTCTGACCAGGGCACATACAGTTCAAGGGTCTGCCAAGATCGAGGAGCACGACCTTCGGCGGTTGGGGGCTTTACATCTCAATGGACGAGAGGTGGGTTCCGGAGCGCTGTCGTACACTTCTTGTTTGCTGACTGAAATCGATAAGATCCAAAACATCGTAGCAATTGCACATGCTCTCGCTGAGGCGAATGCCAGCCAAGTGAACTATAAATACCTTGAGTTAGCCGCCGGCTCGCGTCAGGAATTTTCGAAGGAGTTTGGCAGACAGGAAATGTATATCTAGTAGCATACCTAGGAAACCCATGCTAGCAATGTTGTTCAACGTCGAGCGGCTCAACTCTTGTTACGTTATTTCCTTAGCACACGACAGTCCATCTCATCAGCCCTAAAGCTTAACAGTTGAATCCACGTTTTCATATGATTCATGGCATCTCAAAAAGCCTAATCTGTACACGACAGCCTTATGCACTGAATTTGAGTGAAAATTGGAAATAGTTCATGATGAGGTATCACCCGTAAAAGGCTTCATTCAGCCAGGCCCGCATACTCATTCGGGGATATCGAAAAACATGCAGGAGCATGAGTCACCTTCAAAATTATCATTGATAAGGACAATGTGGGTATCAAGAACAAGATAACTAATTTCAAAGGTAGCCTTTTTTTTTTGCCGCCTTGTAATTGGAAGACAAAAAAATGTTCGATTTAATTAAGGCTTCGTCATGGGTCAAGAAACAATATGTGCAGACGCCAGCCGAGCTAGACAAGAGCTTTGCCTACCCTTGTCTTCCCGGACACGATAGACATGACGTCCGTTGCCTGAGGCTGGTCCAAGTGCACGGAGCCGTTTCAGCCACTTCATGTCCTCCAAGTCAACGACGACCAAATGATGGCCTACATCGTCCCACAACATATTGCGCCACTCACTATCACCGTGAATAATTCCATGGGACCGTAGCACAGCCAAAGCTTCCACGCGCTCTCGGTCGAAGAAACCGAAATTCTGGTCGTTGACGACATGTTGAAGTCGTATTCCAGACCAGCCCAAAATCATCATATGTGCCATTGTTTCACCGTGGTACCAATATGCGATGCGTGGTTTGAAAGCACCTAAGCAGACGGGAACCTGTCGGCCCTGCAGGCTTGTTAGATGGTCATAATTTTCTACCTCTGCTTGAAGGCGATGCTGTTTCTCTGCCGTAGTAGCTTTGATGACCACAGTGTATCCATGTGTTAGAAGGGTTGTCTTCAAGAGGTAACCCGTTCGGCCGCGCACGTGTAACTGTTCAAATCCCTCATTTCGATTCCGTACGAGTTGACGGTGAAGTCTGCGAGTGAAGTTTGCCGGGCTTATCGAATGCCTGTGACTACTAGAATGTCGCAAATGGCTTTGTAAATTCGGGCATTTCGTGTCCAGAGGACCTCGATTGACAATTCCACGTATGCAGCCCATGGTACAGTACGCTCGGGTACTTTGATCATTCTGTTCAGGGCCATGTCCTGCTTTTTTGCCAAGTCTACTGCTGGATCGATTTTTGTCGCTCCTGCTGCGGGTTGATTTCTTGCGGCTCATCTGGCTGCGCGCTGCTGCTGCGGTAGACGGGGAGAGATGATCCTCCCCGCTACCGCTACCTTCTGCAGACGAGTGCTTTAGAGTCGAGATTCCTGGTTGACAGCGGGCGCGGGATCGTGTATTGTGCTTTTTTGGTTCGAACTTCCAATGAGAGGGTCGATAGATAGAAGTCCGCTGGCTTTGGCTTCGCATAGTTTCGGGAATATCCCGCAGTATATCTATATATTCGACTTTCCAAGTTCTTAGCTCGTCATGCGCTGCATCGTACCACTCCTGGTGTGGCGCTTCGGTGGCAAGCGGTTGAAGAGTAAACGCAAGTACTTGGCCAATGGCAGTCCGGTGGAGACGATTTGGATCGTTCACCTGTACATCCTGATTTGGCACACATAAGTAGTATTGGAACAACAGTAGGATCTTTCGGAATATGGAGAAACACAAAAGCCTCTCCTGTGCAGATGTAGCCGTACTGGACTCCACTATCGATCATGTATGAGAAGATTTGGGTGATCACAGCGGCGACGAGACGAGTAGTGTGATACTCAAACGTATCACCTTCCAGGTCAATGAAGTCGCGAGCCAGGTCCATCTCATGCAAGCCTGCTACTAATTCTGGGATTGTCACCTTATGGGGAGCCTTGAACTCCACTGCATAAACAGGTTTTCTTCGCTCGTCAGCCACGGTATGTACACAAAACTGATCAGCACGGCGATTGCGCTTCCTTGGTGTGCGAGGCCTCCTTGAGGTCTGTATGTGACCAGGCGGCTTTCAGTGCATAATATGTCTCAACAAACAACGATTGGGGAAATTACCTGCCCTTTCCTAAGGTTAAAATGGAACATCTTCCAATCAACTTGGCTCTTCGTATAGATACATCGGGGTTCACTCCGATGGTGCGGCTCCGTTCCTGTTCGGCACCAACCTGGAATGACAACAGGTTGACCCGGCTTCCACAGTTAACTCCCGCCTAGGGCCGGAGAGGGCCGACACCCGAAGGGTGGCCCCGTATACCGAAGGCCCGCCCGAACCAAACGCCACAACCCCCGGAGGGAAAGTCTAGAATGGTTCCCGCGGGCACACTGGGAGCGACCGAAGGGAGCGGACAACTATGGACACGTTCCACTCAGTTAGGGCCTGATATACCCACGGGTGATTTGTGAATGGGGGCCTTTCAAGCATCAACCTCCAGGTTCTGATCAAATGAATCTCTCCTCAGAACATCGTTTCAAATCTTTCAAAGCGGACACTTGACACCATAGAACGAGGTTGATTCCAAACAGAGCCTTAGAATCATAGAGCCCGTAAGCTTAGCATGGGACCTTTCACTACGATAACCCGCGCGGCTCGGGCGGAAACATTGGACGTCGCCACGAAACGCCTAAACACTGAATTTCACTTCCTGAGATCTGGATAATTGACTCTTGTCGAATTTCCCGGACAAGAGGATTGGAGAAAGTTCCAAGACGAAGATAGTGGGTTGGTCTTGCCCGTCGCCTATGGGAGGCACCCCCGGCTCGAGGGCGCTTGGGCAATGAATCAAATCCGGGCGAGGCCGCAGTTCGGAAAAGTAATTCGATACCAAATAAGTGGCATTTATGCCGATGCAATGCCTGTATCTTGCGACGATGAGAAGAAATATCACATTCCGGAAGGCTGACTTCATATATCGACGCGTCAACAGCGGTGGTCAGTGGGCCAAGTATGGCGAGTTGACACATCCACGCGCGATGCATATCTACCACGCGTAACCTCAGTTGCTTATTAGAATCCCTAGCCTTGTCACTCACCCCCAATCTTGAGAACACTTGGATTGATCTCGATATGTCGTATGTAGAGTGTTATTCGACTTCGTTCCCATTCAATTTGCTCTTGCCGTGTTAGCCCCTTCCCTGAGCAATGAATGTGCGGCGAGAACGTAGCAGAAAAGGTCTCATATTCGCTGTCAACCTCGAAATGTCAGCAGTAATGCGAATTACACTCGGAATTTTGTGCATCATATTGCTAGGATGTTAGTTCATCATGTTTCATATCTGAGATATAACAAGTGCTCCCATAATACTTTGTATGTTGACAGACGCTCACGTATCTTGCTGTATTACCGCTATGAGTGAGTCATGCTGGTCTTGAATGAGACCCCAGCACGGATACGGTCGCAATTTTGTGCTCAAAAAAAGATCGGACGTATCCTTTTCTCATTACCACCCACGGACAGCTTGGGTCAGGATATATTGACACCATTTGCAGCGATGGTAATGTATATTCCTAAGATACCTAGTAACACGAGACGGAATACCCCATCCCAGTCTCCAATTATACAATTCCACATGGGTGATACGATACAGTACCTCGGCCTCATGCAAGATCTTCTGCTAGGGCTGGTGATCAAAAAGTAATTGTAAAAAGCATAGCCAATGTGGTATGTTAGAACAAAGAGATTGTTAAACGATGCTGAAATTCACACCACTTTTTCGTATCTGACGTTGTCTCTCCCTTGACGAGTAGTCTCTGTGGCTCTTTTGCTTCATCGCCCCTTGGATGAGACGGCTCATATCACGATTTTTACGGGATTGAGCAACTTCGGCTGGCATTGCCAAAATACAAGGCAAGTTCGGGCCCTGGAGTAATCTGCTGACCATTGCGGTATCTTCTCGTTTAACCGCTAACAACAGGGCCGTCTCACCCCAACCATTGATCGTATCAATATTGATTCGAGGATGCCCAAGCAAAATATCTAGGATATCAAGTCTTCCGTGACGAATGGCTACACAAAGTGCCGTCTCCTTATCAGGACTGTTCAATTGGTTGATCTGCAGCCGATCACCTTGCCGGACCAGCAATTCAACCATATCACGGTGGCCCTCCTGGGTTGCCAAAAGAAGCGGCGAATGATTAGGTATCTCCATAGCGTTAATTTGTGTGTTTTTGTGAGTGAGGAGCAATCTCACCACTGCGGTATTCCCTTGTTGTATAGCCAGACAAAGAGGAGATTGAGAGCCCCCGCATAGATTTGGGTCAAGGCTCGGCCGGCTTAAGAAACATCCAAGAACGGTTGTATCATTTCTTCTGGCTAGATGGTGGAGCGAGGTAGAAGGGCTATCATATTTCCCACATGTTCCAAGCGTATTGATCTTCACGTCCTTCTCTTCCAGAAGCCTCTGCGTGACACGATCATGGAATGAAAAGGTAGACCACCACAGCGCAGTCCTACCGTAAGTGTCTTGACGGTTCAAGAGAGTATTTCCGTGGCGAAGTAGAAAATCCACTGCCAAGAGATGGCCACTCCTTGCCGCTGTGTGGAGAGGTGTCAGTCCCTGTTCATCAACTATATCGAATTCCTCTCCCCGGAGGCGCAGCATTCTTGATATGGACGCACCTCCGCTACCAGCAGCTGACACAACCGTTTCCTCATTTCTAGTGGGCGGTATATCCTGTGATATGATGCCAGGGGATGTCGCTTTCCAATGATCAAGGAGGAGATCTTTGATATTGTTTCTGTTTCTGATACATGCTTGGATCCATGGCGAGATTCCATCCAGATCTTTTGCATCAGGGTTGGCACCTCTGATGAGTAGTTGGCACACAAAGTCTCTGTTTCCTTGAAAGACAGCAAGCCAGAGCACCGTCTGCCCCTCAGAATTTGGGAGGTCGACTTTGAGCTGAGGGTGTTGAAGGAGCTGGGTGACGATGATGGATGATGTTGTCGCCACACTGTGCCACAGAGCACTCTCTCCCTTGGTATTTCTCAAGTTCACGCTCAAGCTTTTCTTCTTTAGTAATACTTTGATCACCAGCTCCGAGCCGTGATCTGCGGCTGTCATGAGAGGGGATGAATCGTCAACTAGTGCATTTACGTCGGCTCGGTAAGAGATTAACGCCTTTGCAAATGCACAATTATTGGTCTTAGCAGCCCAATGAAGCGCCGAGCTGTTTTGGTACTTGATATTGTACTTTATTAGCGCCAGACGCAGCTTGGGATAGAGTTTTCGGTGGGTCTGAGCAAAAGCAGAAATTTGGCCGCCCGATAAGGTGCTGGCTATGATCCAAAGAATCTCCGTTGGAAAATCGATAATGGAAACCTGTAGAGTATAGTCAGCATTCAATTCCATTTCAAAGCATCGATTGCTCATACCATTGCCTCAACCCTCAGGCTGTAACTTTGTGAAAGTATATGCAAAGAGGTTATGAGGTGCTGTTTCTTTCCAAGGCGATGCGTGAAGTTTGATGCAAAGTAATGAAACTAATGCAGCGCATTTTTGGGCGATTTGGCATTGCAATGGCCAATGAAAGGGCACATGAAGAGCTTTAAGTATCACTACAGCGAAAGAGTGGATGCCCTACGATGCAATCTTGCTGCTGTAAATTGCGGTTCAGTTCCCAGGCAGACTGTAGAAACCCCCAGTATTCAGAACCGTGGCTCCGGGAGTAGTGACCGGGATCCCAGGGACAAGGCGGCTCCCAGGACCGGCATATACTTTCCCGGGACATTCAATAATGATTGTCAGAGATCACATTCTCGATTCATTCTCAGGCTCCTGGTTATTTGGAACACATCTTCCATATGTATCTGGTCTACAGTAATGTCTACTTGAACAACTTGAGACCCTGAATGATCCACCTTTCCTCCCTCGACATATTTGACTTTTTGTGCTAAATACGAAACATGCTGGGCAGACTGCGAAATCAATGTTTACTTTGGATCTGCAGAAGCCTCGATGGGAAAGAAATCGTTCAATTGACCATTTGCTACTGCTGGGCAACTGCGCAATCCTGCACCAAGTATCTCCTTGATTGCCTTCACTACGATAAAATACCACCCCTTCACCGAGCCATACTCAAACGACGACTAGACATTGCGCGCCTGTTGTTGACTCATTACCACGCAAGTCCCAGCTCCATGTACCGTGGGACGAGCACGCTTCTGCTCGCCATTGAGATGAGCTGCCCACAAGCAGTTAACCTTATACTGGAACATCACCCACGGCTGTCCTATACTTGCGATTTTCAAGGTCAAGGGCCATTGTCAATCGCGGTCGCAAAGGGCAATTTTGCCATCGTTGAACGCCTGTTGCAGTACCCAGCGCTGGATGTCAATGACCGATGCACCGATGGCATGTCCGCTTTGATGTACGCAGTGGAACACGCTGAGCACGCCATTCTAAGCCATCTTCTGACCGACCCCCGCGTGAACGTCAGCATCGAAGATCGCTTTGGGCAGAATGCGCTACACCAAGCAGTCCGAAAGGAAGACCATATCTCAGTGCAGATCCTAGCCCGAGACCCTCGCTTGGATGTGAATTGGTGCGGCACCCATCGAAATACGGCACTACTTCTCGCGGTCAAAATCTTTAGGAGGTCGGCGCGTGGAATGGTAGAAGCCCTACTGCTCAACCTCAGAATATCCCACTAGAGCCCACCCGGCAGTGTTGGTGCTAAGAATTATGATTCGCGATAGCGGATGTGTATCTGGTAGAGCCTAATCCCTCTTGTCTCACAATGATGAGCAAGTAGCTTCATTCAAATACGACGCCACCAAAGCCCTATCAGGGCAAAGCTGTGATTGGGAGCTTTTCCGATTCTAGTCGGACTAGTTGGCCTTTAGCTTCGGGGACACGGTGAACGCCCACAAGGCTTTGCTGCCGTAATATGCCCCTGTCATGTATGGAAGCCCTGTCATGAAGCCAAATTTTCGGTTGGAACCTTGTTGCTTATCTCACTGTTGAATGTCGCATTCCTGTCAACGCAGCACTTTCAAGATTGGTTGCAAGTCTGATTGCACAATTAGCTTGGGTATGCAAAGCCCAATTCGCCATTCATAGAGCACTATTGAACCATTGGAGCTCCATGCTGGCCTCCTTTTTTTTAATTGCTCAGGGAAGGGGCGGACACGGCAAGAGCAAATTAAATGGGAACGAAGTCGAACAACACTCTAGATACGACATATCGAGATCAATCCAAGTGTTTTAAAGATTGGGGGTGAGCGGCAAGGCCAGTGATTCCAATAGGTAACTGAGGTGTGGTAAATATGCATCGCGCGTTGATGTCCACTGACCACCGCTGTTGACGCGTCGATATATGAAGTCAGCCATCAGGAATGCGATCTTTCTTCTCATCGTCGCAAAATACGGGCATTTCATCTGCATAAATGCCACTAATTTGGTATCGGATCACTTTTCTGAACTGCGGCCTCGCCCGGATTTGATTAATTGCCCAAGCGCCCTCGAGCCGGGGGTGCCTCCCATAGGCGACGGGCAAGACCAACCCACTATCTTCGTCTTGGAACTTTCTCCAATCCTCTTGTCCGGGAAATTCGACAAGAGTCAATTATCCAGATCTCAGGTCTACATGGAAAGGCCTTCTCCAATGGTGATTTCGAGAAGTGGAAATTCAGTGTTTAGACGTGTCGTGGCGACGTGCAATGTTTCCGTGCGAGCCGCGCGGGTTATCTTAATGAAAGTTCCCACGCTAGGCCTACGGGCTCTATGGTTCTCAGGCTCTGTTTGGAATCAACCTCGTTCTATGGTGCCAAGTCTTTAGTTTGAAAGAGTTGGAACTATGTTGTGAGGAGAGATTCATGTCATCAGAACCTGGAGGTTGATTCTTGAAAGGACCCCATTCCCGAATCACCCGTGGAAATATCTTAACTGGGTAGAACGTGTCCATAGTTGTCCACTCCCTTCGGTCGCTCCCAATGTGCCCGCGGGAACCATTCTAGACTTCCCCTCCGGGGGTTGTGGCATTTTGTTCGGGCGGGCCTTCGGTATACGGGGCCACCCTTCGGGTGTCGGCCCTCTCCGGCCCTAGGCGGGAGTTAACTGTGGAAGCCGGGTCAACCTGTTGTCATTCCAGGTTGGTGCCGAACAAGAACGGAGCCGCACCATCGGAGTCAACCCCGATGTATCTATACGAAGAGCCAAGTTGATTGGAAGATGTTCCGTTTGAGCCTTAGGAAAGGGCAGGTAGTTTCCCCAATCGTCACTTGTTGAGACATAGTATGCACTGAAAGCCGCCTGGTCACATCAGAACATCTCGCAAACACCCGAGAACGAGACTAAATATCTCGCAACAGGTCCCTCTGTGGATCCGCCTGGGAAAATCATGCATCCCTCATAGTAGAATCACCCGTCATGAGTAGAAAGGCGAGTTTCTTGCCTGGCCTCTCCTCCGGAAATTTGCCGCAGTGAAGCCACCACCGAGGTCATTTTGGAGCATAGTAAACAAGTAATATCTGACTGATACAGCCTCTCAGCAAGGTCAGACAGCATCCGATAGAAAAGTCTCTAGTATCAAATCCGTGACTTCTGGCTTTGAGGTCGCTGTCAATACCATTCATTGACGCAACCTCAGAATATCAGAATATCCCACTAGATCCCACCCGGCAGCACTCGTGCCAGAAAGTATGTTTCGCGGTAGTGTATGATTATCTGGTAGAGCCCAGTACCTCTTCCCTCTAGACGAAAAAGCTAAGCGAGTCGGGAACTTCGGATACCACACAGCTAAAGCCTGGTTAGGGCGAGCTGCGCTTGGGAGCTACCCCAATTGAAGTCACCTAGTTGACCTTGAGCTTCAAGGACGCGGTGAAAGCCCATTAGTTGCTATGCTGCGGCAATATGACCCCATCATTTATGGAAACCTCTCATGAAGTCAAGTTTTTGGTTGACCTTGCTGCTGATCCCACTGTTGAACGTCGCATCCATGCCAACGCAGCGCTCACAAGACTGGTTGCAAGTCTGATTGCATAATTAGCTTGAACTGGGTAAATCCCTAGAGTATTGCTTGGACCATTGGAGCTCCCGCTGGCCTCTTTTCTATTTGTCTGATACGGTTTCCTGCTCACAAACGGTTGGGATTTCAAAAGCGTGAGCTGGTATAGCCCCAGCGAGAAGAGAATATGAGTAAAGATCAGCCGTTGGAAAAACACAGATGAGAACGATTCAATCGTCGTGGAAATTCAACGCTCGTGCATCGATGCTCACTTGTGAGATGAACTCATCCCAGGGAGACGCGTTGGGGAAATGACGTCACGCGAAGTTCGTTGTGGAAGAAAGACCTAAGTCTGATTCCGTCAATGTAGGCCGTCTTGAACATTCACAAGGCACTGGAAAGGTTGGCACTGTCTTTATATTTGAACTTGCTTCATGAGTCGGCCCATCGGAAAGCCCACGTAGCCACATGGACATATTATCGCGATTTGATGCTGGTGCCGGAACGGAGTCGCATCATTGGAATTGGCTCCTCAGATCTCCATCTTGACAATCAAGCTTCAACCAGCTTTATCCTCTTGCAGTATCTATTATCGGGTATCACCCCTTCAAACCGAAAATCAATGATACCGCAGACGCATCATAAACGGCCATGCCGACAGCGAGACGGCCACCAAGGTATATGAGTAGTACGCTTCAATAGCCCTGCCTCTCGATAAATGTGAAGTCCACATTGAAAAGCCTCAGCTCACAGCATGCCAAGAGCCCATCTCAACAGCATGTTAACAGATGCCGACGCGAAGAAGGTGATGCAAAGTGGCCTTGTCTAATGACAATGGAGATCCGCCATCGGAATGCATAATGCGGATCAAACAGCAGGTCTTGTCATAAACTGTTCATTTCGTGTAGGTGTTGACTTGGGTGAGGTGAGACAGGGAGCCACGCTAGCCGGCCCCTGTTAACATTCAGAGCCTGCACTGAAGCCGGCCTCGTGTCTAATGCCGCTTAAAACCAAGGTTCTGATAAGAAACGACGGCATTGCCAATGGGAGGCGCAGGGACCAGGTAACAAATATTTCGATCGACGTGAGCGGTCTGCTGGAACGATAATTAGCCATACGAATGTAAATGCGGGGGGCGGACGCGATAAAAGCCACCTGTTGGGTAATGTGGGTAATGCGCTTCTTATAGTAGACTCGTAGTGCGATTGGGGCGTAGTGTTCAGAGCATGCGTCGAAGAGTATGTTAAGTTGATACACGCATGGAGTGGGTGTGTAGGAAGCGTGTCGGTAATCAGTCGCACTATAGGCAATATTAGCATGAGTGGGGATACTCTGGTCAATGCCGAAAGTAGCTGATACATATGAAAACAGGCGTGAGTGCAACCCTTGCCAGCCAAGAAGTCGTTCAACATGGCTGCATAACTAGACGCAGTCCTCGGAGCTCTGAGTTGACCGACAATCCGTAGCTTGAGATATGAAGATTGATTTTCGTGACTGCGGACTCTATGCGCATTGCGTGTTCGGAGTTCGGTCTCGTCAACTGAAATGGCTCGCCCAATATACATAAAAAAGATGTTGGGTTAGAGCTCACACTGAGTTTGCTTGGCGAAACTGACCAACCCGTTTCGTGCTGAAGCTAACAAGGTTGACGAGGAGCTAGTTCCATCATTCAATAACATGGATCACGATTAGATCAGCAAGGGTTGATTGCAGACAGATGAATGTTATTCGTCCTGGGAAATCCGGATCAGATGAAGTGTGGGCGGATGAGGTTGAAACCATCGATAAAGCCTTGCAGTGGCCCTGGGTTTGCGTTTCATATTAGTGGCACGCGCCATGTATTGCGTACACACTGGCTTACTGCCGGTGTATCGATAGGTTTTGTGAATGGTCAATGATCTGTTATTAACGAATTGTTTGAGAAGTGCCATCACTCGCCCACGTTCTATAACGTGAAGGTTTGAACCATCTAGGCGCGTATTAATTTGGAAAATGCAGCGCATAGAGCCGGATGGGAAAGAGCGAGATCAGCCGATATGAATTAAGGACTTGATGGCATCACATCGTCATCGCTGATGTGGTTGATGAGCTGTTTCTTCTTTATAGCGTCTTTTGGTCTTGCAAGCGAAGTCGCAAGGCTAGAGACGCCTCAATATAGAGTGCGTCTCTTGTATTCGACGTGGAATTGGCCTTGCCTTGGGTACATGATGGGTGCTATGTCCGAAAACGAGTCCCTTGCTATCGAGTTCAATATCGAGAGGGTAGAAGCTCCATGAGCTATCCGGCCTCTGGGATAGCCCACGCCGGGACTTGGGAAGGGGGCCGTGAAGATCTCTGCCACAGAAAGGAAGTCAGCTCTATGTACATAGACATACTCAAAGATCGGGGGATACGGATCACACTCAGCGTTCTCCGGTATTCGTGATGTATCAACCCATTCACCTTTCTGTAGGAGGTTCCTGTGATACAGGTTCGTTTGGTCAGCGACTGACCTCATGGAGTTGGTATTGAGCCTACCGTATAAAGAGGCTCTACCTTAATATATCAGGGGTAGAGAGCCTGTCATGGTTGTCATCGAATTTATTCAGATCTGAAATGTACACAGACCGTTCGAGAAGCTCTGCTGTGAGATTGTTAGATAGGACATAGTACAGCTTCCATGGATCAAACGAATCTGACACCTCGCCTTGGTAGAGATTTTGCTGCCCCGGTGGACAGATTGGAAGTCTAGCGGAACCGAGGAAGAAACGGTGTTAGTGTAACCTTTAACTAAGGAAGGGTGGTACTCACGTATTAAAGGATTTGTATATTGCACCTTGAGGAAAAGTGTTATCAGTGAGAGATAGATAGTCTTGAGCTGATGACTGGGCACACTTACAAGTATAGACAAAATGAGATGATCAAAGTAAATCTTCGCAAGTGATATGTGCGAGGAGAGATGCAAGAGGAAAGTCAAGCAAGACGGGTGGGAGCATATTTATACCCTCCAGGGCGGAGTGCCTTGTCTTTCGCTTGGATCGAGAGTGGCAAATTGTGAGACTTTCTGATTATTCCTAGGCAAGAGGGAAAACGGCATACCAGCAAGCGGTTTTCTGCGCTCAAGGAACATAGCCACTCACCAGTGGTGAGCAAAAAGGATTAGCGAAGACCGAATGACAAAAACTTGGCAAGAACTAAGTTTCAGGTGGAATGCGGCCAGAAAATGCCACCAAGAAAGTAGAGCAGTGGCTATTAGAGAAACCGGAGTTTATTCACCAGCGGATTCAGTTGAATCAACAGCGATGAGCAAACATGAGGCGTCTCAAGAATATGCAGAATGACAAATAGTTGTAAAGGAGGAATCGTTGAGGCAGAGCTCTAGTCCCGGTAAGGCGAATTGGGGATGTAGAAAACGAGGTCGTAAACTTTATTCACTCGCGAATCAGTCGACTCAACGGGGATGAGCAGACAGGAGCTTGATCAACAATATTTGGAATGGCAGATACCTGTTGAAAGTGAAATTTGAGACGAGCACTAGAAAGTCCTCCGTTTGATTACTGACTTGTCTTCTGTTCTGGCTTTCTTCTGTTCTGGCTTTCGCTGACCCATTGACTAGCGGAAAAATAAATACTTACAAACAAAATGCATTTGCTCGCCCCGCTTCTACCACCTTTGTATGAGCGGACGAGGTGTGAACACAGCACAGGATACACGCCCAGGAGGAAACGTCAAAGTCGCCATCCCCCCTCAAGCATAATGTGAGCCATGGGCAACCCAAATTGGCAAGACCATAAAAATGCATGGTCATTAAGTTGAGCCAACACCGTGTACCTTGGATCCACACCGGTGCAGCCTGTGGGTCGAGGTGGGCCACCATATCCACTCTGGTGCCTCAACGTTGAGTAAACGACAGTGAATGATCAGCGAGGAAAGCAAGAAGCCCTCGGAGAATGATGGTGAATGAGAGATTGCTCAGTTTTGTACGACCCCCGAAAACTCTCCACATCGTCCTTGGAATCACTTTCCATTACATTTTGACCGTTCCAGCAAAAAGGACCGCTCCTCAAGTAGCGGGTGCAGGGCATACACTACTCTACGAAAGACACAAAAGTGCGTCACGCCAAAAGTTGAGAATTGGAGAAATTTATTCACTAAGTTGATATGAAATAGGCTTTTTGATAGTAATGCCATATTCATAGCATATTGACAATCACCAAGAGCCTAGAGCTCTCTGCAGCCTGTCCGCTGCCAATCTTGGTCAAATAATATCAGTTCTTAAGTAAAATGTGTGTCCACGTGGGACTCTGCACAAGTCCAGTAATTGATAGATGGAGGAATACCCTTGAATAGGAATCATGTAGGGTGCCTTCTCTCAGTGTGCAGCAAAGACAAAACCTGCAAGCCGTATACCTCAGTACTTCACAATAAGCCGCCAGAGCTTGGGCATCGTCAAGCGGAGATGACATGGAAGCCGCACGCAATTCGACGGGCCCCTTCAAAGTAGACCAATGGCCTGACCACACTCCTCCACCAGGGCACTTCGCACGCGCAGCATAATGCTGAGGACCTTCATTCTGACTCACTTCTCTGAGGCCACCGTACCACTGCTGTGAACCATGGGCGAGCCAGCTCTTTGCCCTCCGATTGCAACTGCGCCAATTTTGTGATTCGACCAGCACTTTCTGTGAGTCAGGAATACTACACACCCAGATGGAATGAACGGTCGTGGTGCTGTCTGCCGCGACATTATTGGCGATCCACTATCTGCTTTTGTAATTGAGTAAGCGGAAACCCCTTTGTCTGCTATCGTCTGATCCACTGCCATCATTTTCGACACCGAGATTGCGCCACCACTCCATGCCATAGGTTTCGCCCCTTCTTCGTTAATTTTCTCTTCATCTCTCATGTCTGATCTTTTCTAACTTTTCTTCTTTCCGTTCTCTTACCTCTTAAATCCACAGGAATGAAGCAGACGTCTGTTCAAAATCACTGTCACAAACCCAGTGTCTGGTCTGATGTGTATGATTTCCTGAGTCAAGCTGATGATGTTGAAGGAAAATATTCTAAAGACCCGATCAGATCACAAGCCGAGCCGGTTGCCATACTGACGAAACCGGATGGCAAATCGATCAAGAGGAGAAAAGAGCAACGCAGCCCATCACAATTATCAAATGGGCACGGAAAACACTCGTCGAGCCCGTAAGTTTCAGAACACTCTCGATATTGAATTTACTTTTGTGCTTCTTAGCTTAAAATTTTTGAGAGGAGGAATGTGCTGACACGAAACAGAAACCCCAAGCGCCGAGGAGCCAAACGCAAATACAGACTGAAGCGTCTCGCTGCCGATAACAAAGCTCTAACGGGTGAACTCGATATTCTGAAAAGCGAAGTCATGTTCTTGAAATCTCAATTGAACCACCAGAAGAAGGCGAAAGGTGTTTCATTCCAAGATAAATGACGACTGAGGAAAGAGCTTCTTTGGTACATTCATGTCACGACAACCGATTGTTGCGAGAAGAATTTTCGTGGCCTTTTTGTCATGAATTGCGCCAAAATGAGAACCCATAGGAACAAGTTCAGCCGCAAGTATAAGCAAGTCTTTGTTATCGATTGCGAATTCTTGGTAACGTTACAAATATATCACCATGGCAAGTAAGCAATAGATGATAGTCCCTATCTTGTGTATTTGGACTCCCAATTCTTTGGCCTAGCTTTTGAACCCCAAGGCTCCTCTTCGTCCAGCCTCAGCACACCCTCACCACCTATTATGTAGTCCTCTTTGACCTGGAAATTTGCGCGGGTCTGTCACAGTTCAATTTATTGGCTTATAGACGCAAGGGCAATTAGGCTACACAACATGTGCAGCGTGATGTTAGTCAGTGCTTATGATGCCCTCCTAGCTGTGTTGATATCAAGGACCGAGGTTGTCTAGCTACCACAGTAGATACAAGCCAAAGCGCTTCCAAAAGGATTCAGGTATACCGAAAGCAGAACGCTCATTTGAGGTCCTCTTTCTCTAAGCGGGCGAGAAGTCTACCTTGTAGTTCCAACTGAGCAAGAAGTTTTTCTTCCCGCGCCTTCTGCTCTGCCTCCCGGGCCTTCTGCTCTGCCTCCCGTTTCTCTTCTCGTTCCTTCTGATCCTTTTCTAGTTGCCTTTGTCGTATATTTTGTTCTTCAAGCTGGGCAAGGAGTCTCTCTTCCCGCGTCCTCTGCTCTGCCAGCTGTTGCTTCAGTGTTTGAACCATCATTCGCAGCTCTGGTTGCAGTGCGCGGCTTTGCGAGGATGCGGCTCTACGATACCCTGGGCGCTCCTGCGATCCAATGATGGACAGCTGTGACTCGACTTCATCGACGTCGATTCCCAAGGTATCGTCCTCTGGATCAGGCACTCTGCCAATGACGCGCATCAATCGATCGGTATGAATGCGCAAGAACTCACGGTCCACATTTTTCACGAATCGATAGCAGGTCCATCGATCTTCTAGGGTCCAGGCGTTGGGTTGTGCAATCGGCCACCGGTAGAACAAGACTTTATCTTCCTCAAACTCAGGATAGTAGCCGTATATACGAAAACCATCGAGCTCATGAGATATCGAAAATCCCAGAATTCGCCGATGCACCTCTTCTGTGCACCCAGCCGCTTGGCACAGCGAGACCACAGCTCGCAGCGCGATGCACATGCTGTGCATGTTTTGCCGGTCCGCGAGCTCCAGCGCTTGGTTTCCACATTTGATTTCAGCGGTCAGGTAAGGAAAGTACATGTCCTCGCGCGCCGTATACGGCGATTTTTCGTCGGGTCTGATGCCGAGCTTGCGTCGCTGGCTTTCCGTGAACACTGACCACTTCAATCCACGTGCATGGTCAGGCTGCGGCTTTGGACCATAAATCGGCTCAGTCTTCAGCCATGGATCATTGTATCCATCTATGACGTCTCTCAGGCCCTGCGTGCCCCTGATGAACTGATTTTCCGCGGATGGCATGATTAGGGGATGCAGGTCTACCAGGAGACGCGCTTCAGACCGGTTCCGCAGCGCGTAATGGAATCTGTCAATATACTCGTCATCGAATAGGGTGCCCTGGGGAGTTGCGATCGGCTGATGAAGGAGACGCTCACAGAGCGCGATGTCGTCGGGCATCGGGCCAGCTGGGGACGGCTGCATGAAGCAACCCTTGGTCTCCAGTATGGTCACATAGTTCACAGCACGGTAGGCGTATGACCGAGTATCACGAGCCGAGCTGCTTTCGCTATTGTCGGAGGAGACAGACCGAGCGCGTCCCCGGTCGGTAGAGATCGAGCGCGATCGGGATCGCTTGGATGCTGGTTCACTCATTTCTCCGACGGCAGCAGACTCCGGCGCTGGTATCCACTGGTATATTTGGTCTTCAAGCGGGGTGGACGTATGCGTGAGCGAGATTGGTGTCGTAGTTCGGTGTTCTGGGGGATTTGATTGCTATGCAGTTAGCTACTGGAACGTCGTCAACCCAGACACGCTACTCACTTTTCCAGGGTGCTCTGGCGAGGAGGGACAAAGCGGCTGTGATGATTTCCTACGGTCGTGCTTCCCCTGCAAAGGCTCTAGATTCGTGCTCAAGCTACCTCGCCGGGGAACTTTGGACGGCCGCTCCTCACCATCACTCTGCGAGTCGCATAGATCGGGCGACGTTCCACGTTTCATGACGGTGTGTTTGACCAATCAAGGGTATTCATCTTCCTGGTCAGCAGCACGCTTGGACAGAGGTCAAATGCGACGCGGCTTCAGCGGTCAGAGAATGTCGGGTATCGACTGGTGACGGAGGCCCTTGGCCAGCAGAACACGAGTCGGCGCCAAGACATCCAATCAATTCCTCCGCGGACCGTCATGGACCCACTATTTATGTCTCAGGGCCGCACTAGTTTGGGCGATGGAAGAAATGGTGTTTCAAAAGCTGAAGATTACACTCTTATGCTGGGAACTCCACTCCTTTTCTTGTGTGGTGACACATTGTACCAATCATCTCAGAAGTAAGGATTTATTTTGATCCCCACATCATGAGCAGCTATCTAGGCAGAGCTGTCGGTGTATCAGCACAGGGGCTCTGTGAAAGCCCGCCACTGCCGCCAGCTCCTATCCTAATGAGAGAAAGACAGTTTGATCTTGGGCCTTAGCATGAAAGCCGGTTCAACGAGGCCTACTATAGCTAGCCAGTTTACTACCCTGGTCACGAAATCGAGTTGCTCAGATGGGTCGCCCCCAAAGAGTGGAAACCGCGGTTTGCTTTTCGATTGAAAATACACATAAAATCTATGATAGGTCTCGATGATAGATAATCCCCCGTCTCGAAAGGATGCGCCTAGTAAGCCCTCCGGTCCATGTCATTGAGCACGTCTTGACTTGATTCTGGATTCTGCACCGTGCCTCCGAAACACCCATTCCGTTAGTGACAGGCTGAAAGAACCCGAGTGAAGAGATCGAGGGTATCGCTCAGACATCCAGCTTTGGCCTTCCATCGGACGCTTCTGATTCGACTCTGCATAAATTTTCTGCTGATCCCGTGGCAGATCCCGGGAGGTTACTGTCGAAGAAAGTCGATGCCGAAGAAAAGTCTTCGCGCAGACGAATATGATTATCAGGGTGCTTGTGTGGTGTCGATCCAAGCCCAGAGGCATGGGAAGGCGGCAAATCTTGTGGCAAGCGGACCTGGTTTAGCTCAGACCGCTCCTTCATGTCTGAGCGACCGTCTGGGCTTTTAATCTTTGCGTTCTGAGAGTTCGTATTGTCTGGTGGCCCTTGCTGGGTATAACTCTGTTGACAAATACACGGTGATGATTGCACGAGAGTGCAAAGGCGATTGAGCACAGAGAACTCCAGCTTTAGCTTTATGCTGTACACCACTGTCTTGAAACTGACTTGGATATAGTGCATTTTGTATTCTGTGATGAGGAGCAAAATATTCATGACGACCACGAGTACGTTCACCCAAATGAGGTGAATCATGACTTTGCGTCCATCGGGACCGCGCATCTGCGTGATCAATTTCAGCGACCGCATTGCTTCGCGCATATACAAACCGCAGATGATCAGGTCCTGGATGCAAAAGCCCGTCACTTGGATACGATCGTAGATCATGGCCGGCTGCACGAAGCGGGCATCGCCGCTGTTCACGCCAAAGAATACCACTGTCGTGGGTATGTGAAAGGCGCAGGCAGTGACGATAATCATCCATAAAACCCATCGCAGGAGGGTAGCGTCGCGGACAACAATCCTTAGTCGTGAATAGAGCATGATCGCTTGACCAGTGACCATCGCATACCATCCGATCATGAATGGAATGGAGACCGCCAGATTGGAAGACTGGGACATGAATCGAACCATTGCTGGGATAGCATGCACAAGGATCCCCCATGCTGCCACTTGCATGCTCCAAAAGTATAATCCACGGTAGCGCTTGAACGCACTGAAGATGAGGACGACAGTCTCGAGAGAATTGTATGCGCCGATTGAAAACATGGACACAATCTCGATGACTGCGATGTTTCGCATGAGGATGGCCCCAACATCCGGAGGGAGACTGGTGACAAGGGTGTCCATGGTTACAAGATGCGAGTAAAGGGAGCAGAGGCAGATAGTGTCAGAATAATTGAACAGCTGGAATAATGCGTTACTTAGGACCTGCTATCAAAGCTTTATAGCACAATGGTCGGACAGCACTGAGTCGTGTGTATGGTAGCGTCAATCACTCCCATCGAGAGAATTATATCAAATGCAAAAGTCTAATGTGAAAAGAATGATCCAGGCCTTCATGGCGTCCATTGATTCATGTCATTGTCTTTATCGTGGTGATTCTATCCACCAATGGCCGTGGCTCTTGTTTGTTCATGTTGGTGGGGAATTCCACTGTGAAAGGCGCGCGGTAGTGTCAGGACCGCGGATCAAAATTATGGTTGATAAACATTAGGCGAACCACGGATGTGGTCTTTTCGGGGAACTACGGACCTTCGTTTCTTAAATCTTGAACCACTTTCTGGTCAATTTACAAGCTTTTGTGAGCTCCATTCTTTTGTTGATACGCAGCTTCCGTTGACAGAATCGAGAAAGAATCACAAGCCCACAGTGGGTCCAGATGGTTAGACAGGGTTAGAAAATCCCGCATGTATTCAGTGAACCTTGGGTAACTTGACAGTGATAGTGACGCTTTCCAGAATTATCGAAGGATAAAGAAGTCAGACGAGTGGATGTGCTTTGTTGGAACGGCAAATCTCCTCACAAGGCTGGGGAGCTGACAACACTCTATATAGAAGTAGAAGGCATCATTCAAGGGCTGATCAACAAGGGATCTAGTCCCTTCAATATCTCAAAGCCCATTCAGAAGCGTAGGATGGAGCGCTGTAAATACTATGGGCGGACCTGCATGAAAGCCCCTCTATAAACGCTAGCACAATTTCGATTTAGCTAATAGGATTCTCCGTGGAACCAGAGC